TTGAAATCCCTGTGGGCTAGATGATTCTAACTTGATAGATTAAAAATTGAGGTCTTTGAAAGACGTAGCAACTTTCCCTTGGGCCCAGTACAAGCATTAGCTCTGGACTCAAACCCAGGCTCTCTGATTTCAAAGTCACTGGGAACCCCTCCTCTTACTGATATTTATTAAATCAAATACCAGTCATGGCTGGAGCCCACATCCACTGCTGGGCAGTACTGGAGATGAGGACACTGGCAATAAGTTTCTTCTTCTGCTTTCATTATTTTTCTTCCCCTGTCCCTATGTCAAGGCTGTTATTTTGCTAGAGTGAATTTTAAAGTAACACTCGTCTTATTTCTTTAGCATCAATATAAAATGTTAACTGATTACCATATGGAACACAAGAACTCTATAACCACATATCTTTTTCCTGTGTTTAACAACTTTGTGAGTTTATGAGCTGTAAAGAGCACATTTCTTTTTAGTTGGATTTCATTAGCCATTTATTTACCAAAACAGTTTATCTTTGTAAAGGAGAAATATTATATATCATAGCTTAATAACAGGCAAAAGTTTAATTATTCAGAATTATTTAAATATTCAAAATATCCTATACTCATTAACCAACAATTGGTCAATGCTAGTCTATTCCACAAAATTATACTACTCTCTTACTTGGCTTTGAGATTTTTGGAATTACTTTTATGCACGAATAATTGTGATCTTGCAACAAGGATTTGTTAAGATATTGTACATGTTGAAAAGTGCATTAGTAGACTGGAGCTATTTCAAAAGTTATTAATCTATCATATTTCACTGATAAACATGTCGTTTTCATGCGCTTCAACCTATAGTGGCTGTAGCCAAAGAAGAAAAGTATGAAGTTACCTTTTCTGATTTTTAAATTAAAGAAGATATGAATCAAAGAGTTTCTGTATAAGCTGATGGGGAACATATGATTAGCTGCTTTACTTGGCTAGCACAATGCTTTGAACTGATAAGTCAAATGAACGTCATGTCCCAGGCCCACCAGGAAACTACACAAGCAGCCAAAGACCTTCATCTGTTGCCACAGCAGTGCCCCATCCGTGAGCAAGTAGACAAGCAAGTAGAAATGTGAGTGCGTCCCCTAAGTGTTTGACAGAATAGGTTGTATCTTGGCAACAAGCTATGAACTTGCTAAAGGTCAAAACCTGGACTTGGCACGCATGTCTCACAGAACTCGCTTATCTAGATGTTTCAAAAGTAACTTCCAATGTGCACCACTTATCAAATGGCAAGGCAAAAAACAAGGAACATTTGTTGCTCTGCTTGCTCCAATTTAGCAGTGCTGTTCTGGAATTGGGTAGCCAGGATATGAAAACTGGCTTGCAGGGTCATTGTGCGGGAGCTCAGTGATCTTAACATGAGCCAAAGCTTAATGTTCACGGGTGGCCTGGGCCATAGCAAGATTGCAGCATCGGTGTTGAAATCTGCAACATCATCAGAGAGAACACAATCATGCTGGACCCACTGTGAGCAGAAGGAAGTCCAGAGATGGTGGAGATGATGGGTTTAGAAAAGCTGGGGACCCATAGCAGACAGAAGCCAGCCACAGCTGAGGGGCAAGGAAGTTCGTGCTCAGTGAGGAATGCATTTTGAATGAAAAGAGCCTCACCCTAGGCCACAGGTGAAGCTACAGGGAACTCTGCCTCAATTATTTTAATATTCTAGTTGTTCATGTGTTCTAAAAATCTGGAGCAAATACTCTTAGTGAGATAGCATTTAAATGAGAAAATATCGTATGTAGTCTATTATAGAAATGCAGTACTTATAAAATCAAGTCAGTGATATATGTTCTCCACATTTATGTATGTCTAAGTATACATGTACATATATATATATGTGTGTGTATTTTAGCCCATTTGACTTCCTATATCAGAAATAGACTGTTGACTCAAACAACAAATAGTTGTTTCTCACACTTTTGAGAATGAAGTGACAATAGATTAAGTCTGGTGAGGACTTAGGTTTCCTTTGTCCTCACATGGCAGAAAGGGAGAGAGATCTCACTCAGTTCACTTTTTTAAGGGTACTAATCCTGTTCCCTAGAGTTTCACCTTTATGATTTAGTCACGACGCAAATGCTTCATCTCAGCGAGGGTTAGGTTTTCAACATGTGAATTAGAAAGGGGCAGCAAAAACATTCAGGCACTGCCATAGTCATGTGTACGTGAAACTACTATAATCATATATAGTCTATCTAGACATCAGCATAGCAGTTAATATTATGAATGTATATAACTGTTTGAATTGTGCTAATTTGAGGATGTGTTCTATGTCCATCTTAGATTCTGAATAGCAAGATGTATATCACCAAAAATATTGCTCATATAATATGCTCTTTATAATTGTTTGATTGTATAAAACAATGACTGAATGAATATGAAAAACTGGGGGTACTTGGTGAGCAAATTCAGATTTGCAGTCTTGTAATCTAGTATGAGCTTCAAATATTACTTTCCACAGCACAAGAATTTACTTCCTTTGAGAAGGTAGATGCATACAAGGGCTGGTTTTACCCTCATGCTGTACTTCAGCTAACAAACACAAATATCTTACTGTCAGATTGAATGCAAAACAGAATTTTAAAAAAAATTTTAAATACTCCTTTAATTAATTTAACAAACTAGTCTTAAATTAAATCGATAAAGTAATAAAAACAAGGTGCAGTGATTACACCTACTGAAACTGAAAGTTTCATAGACAGAAACTTAACATCAGATGAACTCCAAAGAAATAGAATCTTAAGAACATCTTTTGAAAAAAACATTTCCGTTAAGAGGATTACCTTTCCACAGGTTATTAAAAAGTTCATAAAATAGGAGGCTGTTGACTTTGTAATTCTCAAGAAAGTAAAACTTTTATTACAGAAATGTTATGATGGTGGCTAATGTTTGTGAGTATGTTTTTGTGTTTATATCACAAAAGGAAATAATTTGAAAAAAAGACTTAAGAGGCATCATCACTGACAGTTCTGGGATGGGGAAGAAGAATCACATTGACGTTGGCTAGGTTTATAGGATATCCTGTGTCAATCAATAAAAACTGTGTGAGCATGTGTGTGTGCATGCCCACACGTGCTGATATGCCTGTATCTTCTAGTATATAGAACTGTGCTCAGGTTAATGCAAAACAAAACAAAACAAAACAAAACAAAAACCCACGGTCCTGCCTTCAATGAGGCCATGACCTACTTGAGTAGGCCACAAAAGAAAGCATAAAAAACATGTCATCAACACAAGTCACATAATGGCAAGAGTCAGATGACTCTTGAAGTGTAGGAGCAAGTGACAAAAAAGGCAGGACTGAAGAGGTGGGACTTGGAGGGTGGTGAATTGTGGCAGCCAGGGAAGTATTTGGAGATACTGCAGGAAAGTAGTTTTAGAAGTAGAAGCCGAGAAGTCCAAGAAGATCATCTGGGTTAGTAGACAGATTACTGTGGCTAGGTTTGAAATTTCATGCAAGGAGAGGGTAAAATTATCCTGAAAAGACTCTATATCAGATGCGAAGGCCACAAGTGCCAAACTAAGGCATTTGAATCTTCTTGTGGGCAATGGGGAGGCACCGAAAGCTTCTAGAGAAGACATCATCAGTGTGAAAGCAGTTTTCTTGAAAAATCCTTCCAGTGGTGATGTAGTAGAAGGCTTGGGATGGGCCAAATCTGATGCAGGGATCCCTGGGAAAAGACTTCACAAGAGGAATCAAGGATTGACTGGATGGGGGTGGTGGTTAGAGAGGGTGATATCAAAGCTAGGTTTGAGGTTCCGTTTGGTCATCAGTTACAGAATATATAGCATGTAAGTTTCCTAAGGAACATTTATTTTGAAAGGAAGACAATTATTTCAGATACATTGAAGAGAGTGTCAGAGTGCAACAAGTCAAATAATACTGCCTGACACAGCACTGGATATGTGAGTTGGGGATGTGTAGGCTAACATGATGAATGCAGCTTTTGCATTTACTTAAATGGAAAATGTGCCTATCGCCCAGGAAGTCACATTCTTTGGAGTTCTTTGGAAGGAAGAAATTAGAGAGAGGAGCAGAAAGCTGATGACTAAATAGCAGGGCATGGGCAATGAAGAAATATAGGTTCAAAGTAGGAAAAAAAATAATAGAGAGTTAACAGAAGAACTAGGTATTCAGAATCCCAAGGTTTCATGAAAACTTCCAGCCTATGAAGGAAAAGCAACAATAGAAACAAAGATCTTGAAACTGGGCAATCGGCCTGTCTCAATGGTCTGTGTGGTGTGAAAGGGCTTGAAAGTGGATGGCGTAGCTTCAAATAAGGGTGATCTGGCCTTGTACTTCACATGACACGATCACACACACCTGTTGACTAGTCAGACCGTGATGTGCTTTAATAATAAACTGTATACTGCGTTTCAGAGACATAGTGTGAGCAAAAGATAAAATGAAAGGCCTCCTTAATCACGTTGAAATATGGATTCCATGCCAAAATTACAATATCTTGGATATATTCAGGAAAATAAAACTTGCTATGAATATTAATTTGTCATACATTTTTTCTTAAAATATGCCTACTAGAAAATGCACTGACATGCTAGTTCCACTGGGCATTGCTGAGCTAGACCTCCATGATGAAGCTCACTCAGCCTGAATCTAGTACACGCTCACCTATGCTTTAATTATTCAATGAACTTTTGAAATTGAGGAAATGTTAGTTAACATTGTTGCTTGTATTTTGGGGGGTATAGGATCCCCTCTTTGGGTGTTGCCTCCCTAGTGCGCCTATCACCAAAGCACCCAGAGTAAGCCACTATAGTCCCAGTGCTACATGTATTTTTACTCTAGTCACTCAGGTAGAAATCTTTCAAAATGTTTTGTGAAAGGTATTTTTTTTAGGGTATTTCTGGTAACTTATGGCCAGAGTATATTGCAGCAATGAATTTATTTATTTTATCCCAAACTTAGGTTATTTCACCTTACTGAACATTTGGGTCTCTTTTTTCAACCAGCTGACAAACGCAACACCTACACTCTATCTGATTACTTGAAAAATACGTTCAGATTGAAGTACTACAACTTACGATGGATTTCAGGTAAGGATTTGGAGATGGGAGGCAGGAAGGGTTCATTTTAGTTAGATTGTGGGGCACTTAAGGCATTGAAACCATAGTTTAGGTTTTAGTTAAACCCTATGGAGCATGGGGAAATAAGACAGAAAGACACCTTAGTATTTCTTTGATATGTACTGTAAAAGTTCAGGGTGAATTGATATCTTGACAATAATGATGGAAAAATTAATAAATATTAGTGTAGTCATCATCAGCTAATGTTTTTCTGACTTAGAAATATTTAGCACTGTGTGAGCATAGATCTTAAATTTTACTGCATAATTTTTATCTTATGAAGATGTTTCTTAGAACTTGAAATATTGATATGACCATTTTCTTTCTTTAGATCATGAATATCTCTACAGAGAAGATAATAATATCTTGGTAGTTGATGCTGAAAGTGGAAGAAGCTCCATTATCTTGAAGAACAGTACACTTGTATGTCTAATCACATAATTAATTCATGGCTTTAAAAAATTCTGGTTTTTTTCCATAACCTTTCAAATCATGAGTACTATCATTTCTCATCCTGTTGGACTCTCTCTGCAGCATATGGCACAGTGGATCTTTCTCTCCTTGAAATTCTCCTTGCCTTGTCTACTCTTTAGACTCCTTTGATGCTTCCTTCCCTCCTGCCCGGACTCCTGAGTGTAAGTGCTCCTTGGGCTTCTGTCTGCCCCTCTGGCTTCTTGCCTAACTTGGCATGCTCTCCATCAGTCAATTTGCTGTCCTTCCTAATATCAGTGTTTTCTGTTATGACCCTGATTCTCAATTACACACTTTGTATACTAAACCTAAGCCTCAGTAGCTTTTTGGTTTCTGCAGGCATTTAAAACTCAGCCCCATGCTAAATTAGTTATCTTCCCTTCATCCTTTTCGCAAACTGAAAGCATCTTTTCCCTCTTCCTATGGTTTCAAACTTGGTAAATAGTATTCTCGTCCCAGCCAACTAATAAGACACCAGTCACATGTCTAGAACTATATTCTCTACATAGTAAGTGCTCACTAAAGGCAATTAAGGGAAATTGGTCAATTTTTTTCTGCTTGATTGACAGGATGAACTTGAATACTCCATAAATGATTATTCAGTATCTCCTGATCGAAGTTTTATTCTCCTAGAGTACAACCATGTAAAGGTAAAAGGAATGCTTTTTATTTCTGTGACATTTGAAGAATCCAATGAATATGTTAAGGCTGATTTCAAGTGTCTAAATATTTAAAACTTATACTGAAATAATACTACACACATTAAAAACTCATTAATTCAACTTCAAAGGAAGTGGTCGTTCTCATTCATAAAAAGTCAATAGGTGTTTTAAGAGAAACTCATTTTTGGTTTTTGCAAATATTAAAAAGTATAAGTAAAATTACATTAGAGATACTGAAGATATAAATTAATAAAATGAAATTTATAATAAGCATTTATAACTTAAACTTTTCAAATCTGACTTGTACACTAATGTATGTTCTTATTTCCCTTTGTCAATTTTACAAGTAAGACTTTAAATAATTTGCTTTGAAAAGAGCTGAACTCATTCTCCAGAAGAGACTGCCAGGTGACCCTGCACACCTCCTGTCTCCAGGCTTGTGTATAGAATCACATACAAGCTATTCTAGTGTGGGAGGCTCAGCTCTGGCCACCAGCACCCTGCTGAGTGCTCAGCTTCTCCCAGCCTCCCAGCCCACAAGGGGTCCTCACACATTCAGAAAAAGGGTACAGAAAAGTCATACACTCCTGGCAGGTTTAGAATGGCTGCTAAGATGGCCATCACTTTAACTGTAACTTTTTAGTTATTTGTGGATTGGACAACAGATATCAAGTACAGAGTCTTGAGACACGTGGGATAGATGAAAAGCCCATAGAGGAATTCCATGACATTGAAAACAAATCATAAAGCTGGGGATCCCCAACTCTGGGCAAGGGTAATTAATAAATGCTGAGGGGCTTTATCTAAATTCTCTTGCCTGGGCAAGCAAAACATCTCCTACTCCAGTTCCCTGTTGGGGGTGGTGATGCCCCATCGTAGCCTGTTGAATCTATTTTCTGGACAAGAAAATCAGTTAAATCTAGCAGCTAAAAGCAAATCAGAATGTTATGCCAGGTTTACACATCTACACTGAATGAATGGATTATCATATCTTTAATTCAGTGGTTCTTATTGCTGTCCATAGATTAAAATCACATATGGAGTTTAAGAAAATTCTCAGTGTGCAGGTTCAATCCATAGATCAATACATTGAAGTGTCTAAGGTGGAGCTGGCATTAGCGTGTTTTTAAAATGCGTCGATTAGTGAGCAGCAGTTCTTCAGAGCTACTGAATAACAGGTCTCCATATTAAAGACAAACAGAAAAACTGTGAAGTTAGGTCGAAACCAAAAAGTAAATATCAGTTCAATTTACTATTAAGCCAAGTTCAACAAGTGTCACTTGATGGCTACAAAGAGGTGGATTTTACTGGCAGTCCTAGCTGGTAAACCATCATTGCTAATAATTTGTTTCCTGTGTTATGAGAGGGATTTTGTAGATGGATTTACTTAGCTATTATTGCTGTTTTCTCTGTTCTCTTCATGCTATCTATAGATTTCAGGGAGTAGCCAAAGTGCCCCTACAAACCCAAGTTGGAGTATGTCATACCTGAGCTTAAGCTCTCATGACCAGTTGCTCGCCACCATCTTCCCCTCACAAACTCGAACCACAGAATCCTAGCAAGTTTGTGTGATCGGACCTCAGTCTTCCCCCTTGAAGATCCCTTTGCACACTCCAGCTTTTGCTCCCTTCCCAGTCCTGCCTGCCCCTTTAAATCACAAGGGCAGGTTTTAAACAATACCCCTCACACAGAAATCTGGAGCTGCTCCAAACCATTTACCTCAGCATAGCTATGGATGGGGCCCAAGCATGGCTGCATTTAAGGGCTCTCTGGTGATTAAATGATCCAAAGAAGAACCTTAAAGTGCAGAGCTTTTTCTTTTTCTCAAGCGTTACTTTTGTTCCTTTCTAAGGGCCAAAACATTTGCTATTGCTTCCTCTTGGAACCTTCTTCCAGGATCATCATATGGCTCTCCCTTTTCAGTAATTCAGGTCCAGGCTTTCTTGGATCATTTTATCAATAACGTCCCCTGCCACTGTGTTCCCGACTCACCCTCTACCATTCACTCCCATTCATTCTGTTAGGATGTGTTTACACTTCTCTGTAGGGCACCCCTCTGGCACTGAAACTCAGTTCCAAGATCTCTTTCTTTCCCGAAGGCCCCATTCATGATCCTGCTACTCCCCACCCACCTCTAGTATAGCTCTTGCAATTCTTTTCTTCCAATAGTTTACTTCCTCAACAATTTTCTTGCAATAGTTACTTCCTCAATAGTTTACTTCCACATTCAACTATGAACTCCTCAAAGAGAGAGACCCTGTATTGTACACTAATGCCTGAGAGAGGATATGTACCAATGTTTGCAGCCTAAATAGAAGAGTCGGTGTCAAAAGATGAAGTGAACGTTTTAAACATATCGTTTTTTTACATGATGAGTCTGTCATCCTGAGATGATCTCAAAACTTCACGTTAGCCTGCCTCACACTTCTGGCTCTAACAAGTATTACTTTAAGAGGTTGCCCAGAAATAAGCATGGGGTACGTCAAAATAACTTAGATTTCAAAAAGCAATTTATGACGTTAGGGTAAAAGACAAAATTTATGACAAAAGGGTAAGGCTTCCTAAGTGTTCGCTAATGTGAGTGGATCGGAGAGTAATAATGGTAGTGGAAGTGTTCTCAAAGCTTAGGAAACCTGATTCATGCCCCAGCTCTGCCATGCAGCTGGGTGTCCTTGGACTACTCAGCTATTTTGTTCTCATAGGTGAAATTTGATTTACATTTTACTTTGACTTATTTCCTGAGCACCAGTGGTGACTCAGGTATTTAAAGACGGCTAAGACATAATTTCTGTCTTACTGCTAGTAGAATGAGAGGGAAGACATATAGATAAGTAATTTCTTTTAAAATGTCTTTCATTTATATGTGAATCTATAGATAAACACAATTTTTATAAGTGTAAATCTGTAACCATACTTTTTCACCTTCAATCTAATTTTTGCCTGATTTCCAACTCCTCACCTTGCCTTTCCTCCAGGTATCTTATATTAAGAACCTAGTGTATATCTCTCCATATTTAATGTTTTCCTTCTTATTCATTTAATTCTATGAATATAGAAATCCTTTTTAGTTATTGCTTATTCTATAGAAATAGGATCCTATTTTCCACAGTTTTCTATAAATTGCATTTCCCACACAATGATACCATGTGAACTTCTTCCAAGTCATCTGGTATAGTTCTAATTCATTTATTTTTAAATGAGAGATTTTATTTTTTATAGCAGCTTTAGGTTTATAGAAAATGAGTGGAAAGTACAGGAAGTTTCCATATGCTGCCTCATTCACCCCTTATTACTAACATTTTTGTATAAGAGTGGTACATTTATTATAATTGATGAAATAATATTGATACATTATTATTCATTAAAGTTCATAGTTTACTTTGGGGTTTACTCCTCTGTTGTGCATTCCATGAGGTGTGAATAGTGTATAATGGAAATGACATGTAAATCTCATTGCAAAATCTTACAGAATATTTCTCTTGTCCTAAAATCCCCTGCTCCCCATCTATTCATCCTTCCCTCACCCATATCTTTAGCTACCACTGATTTTTCACTCTCTCTATAACCTTACTTTTTCCAGAATGTCATATGGTTGGAACTCTACAGTAGGTAGTCTTTTCATATTGATTTCTCTAACCTAGAAATTCACATTTAAGGCTTCTTCTGACCTTGCTGTAATTTTATAACTCATTTTTTTCTATTGCTGAATAATATTCCATTGTTTGGGCAGACCACAGTTTATTTGTCCATTCACCTGTTGAAGGGTATCTTGATTGCTTCCAAATTGGCAGTTATGAATAAAAGTGCAGTAAAAATGTTTGTGTAGGGCCCTCCCTGGTGGCACAACAGGTTAGGGTTCAGCATTGCAAGCTAACTTCAGTGTGAGTTTGATCCCTAACCCTGAAGGTGACCCACTTGGCATAGCAGACCTCTCCTGTCTTGCCCACCGCTCCCCTCAGCAGAGTACTTTGTCAGTCTGCCTATTCTGCTCCCCACTCTGTCTCTGGTGAATCCTCTCACCACCCCTGCATCTCTGGCTTGCACCCCAGTTCTGTATGTATAAATAAATAAATCTTTAAAAAAAAAGTTTGTGCAGGGCTTTTACATAAATGTAATTATGACCATTTGGAAAATAAACATTCCTTTTCCACCAGCAACCAAATTATACATCTTTTCATTATTTTGCCATTGAGATGGTTCAAAAGTGAAATTTTGTATTTTACTATGTAGGTAAACTTAATAGACTAAAATAAATGTTAGAAATAATGTTTACATGGAAATGGTACTTGGTTCTGGTAGGTTCCTTGTCAGAGATGCTGCCAGAGCACATTATAGATAAAATCCAAAGAGGGTTGTACTAAGATACTTATAATTGCCAAATCCTAGGCTCTAGATAGGGAATTGGTATGATATGAATGATATGATATTTGATAAAATTTGAGGATTTAACAATGTTAAGTTACTTTATCTCTCGTCTTGAGCTCCCAGAGCAAGTAGCCAATCATCCAACCTGAGTATCTGTTTCCTTTTGCAGCTATGGAGGCATTCCTATACAGCTTCATATGACATTTATGACATAAAAAAAAGGTCAGTGACTTCTCATAAGGTTGATTACACTTTTTAAATATAATAATAACTAAAATAAATAAGAAATCTTACTATGATTTACTCATTTGGTTCTATTTGCTTTCATCTTTTTTCCAGTCAACTGATTACAAACGAGAGCATTCCAAACAACACACAATGGATCTCATGGTCACCAATGGGTCATAAATTGGTCAGTGAGTCTCTTCTGATGTCAGAAAGCCATGACTCGTCATTCAGGCCATTGATCCTGATACAGAGTAACAGACACCTAGGAGTCAATACTTCACTATCAAATATAGTGTCATCGCCTAAGATAATGTTTTACTAGCTCAACACAGTAAATATCATTCCTGAAGTTTCTGACCTAGTACTAGGGAGTTGTTTACTTAAAATGTTTGTTAAACTCTAAAATGCTCATTTCTATTGTACTTACATGTACTTTAAAAGATATACCTACTTTTGACTAATTTTGTAACTTTCTCTGTGTTAGTCTAGATATATCTTCATGTTCTATCATGCTAGGAGAATGTTAAAAAGCAATTCAAATAAGAAGATGTAATGTTTATCTGCAGTTGAACTTTTCCCTCTTGGAATATAACTGCACTTCTGTCACTCCTCATTTCCCAGAAAGAAATGCAAAGTCACTCATCATCCTCTAGAACTGGCCAGTCTTCTAGATCCACTCTCATACACTTCAGCATCCAAACAGTGGTGGTTTTGAGCTTCTTTCTTTTAACATGTTAAGAGTGGTTTTAGGATTATTGTGGATTTCATGTCTTATATACTTATTATGAATGACTATAATAGGCAGGGAGTCAATCTTGCTAAAATAGAATATATAAGGTAATCATACACTTGCATGCCCATTTTTTGAGTATAAAATAAATGATAAATGATCTTTAAACAACTGGGATAAATATATCATAACATGTTATTTGTCAATTTTGTTTTCAACCCTTCCAGGCATATGTTTGGCAAAATAATATTTATGTTAAAAATGAACCATATGAACAAGCCCAGAAGATTACATCGGATGGGAAAGAAGATGTGATATATAATGGAATTACTGACTGGGTTTATGAAGGTAGAGATTTTAAAGTTGTTTTCAAGTCAGGATATCTGTAAGCTTTTAAATATGGATAATTCTTTGAAAAATTAGGACAGTCAATGGCATTAAAAATAAGCTGCATTTTTTTAAATGTCCTCAATTCTCTCTGAGCACTTACACCACCAGGTAGCTCATAGCCCAAGTGGCTCTCAGCTCTGCTGGCTCTGCCTGTCCTCTTTGAGTCTCAATGGTCCTGTTGTCTCTGGCCTAACACAACAAAAGGCCTTTCTGTGAAGGTAGCTTTTCTACTTTCCTAGGACAAAACAACTTCCAGATTGAGATCAGATGTTACTCTAACCAGGCCTTCCTAACCAAGAAGTTTCTAACAAAAGTTAAATGCTCTTGCAGCATTCCAAAAGATGACAAGTGTTATCTGGAAGTTGGGGAATAAGTGGGGGAAGCAAATGTCTGTTTTATAGGGAAACTGTGATTCTTTGCATTTATACAAATCAAAATTCCTGTTTTAAAGAAGGAAAAAATCTCTGAAAGTGAGTAGGAAAAGAATAGATAAACACCGAGGAAAAGAATAGATTAAAAAAAAAAAGAATAGATAAAAGGCTTAAAAGGCTCAGTGTCTCTTTTAGATAATGGTTTTTAGAAGGTAGAAAACATTTTAGAAACAAAATATATTAACATTTGTCTGTAGTTGCCATGGTAAAGGGTATTCAAACCATTTGCAAGTTTGGCTCATACTTATTAAAGGCTCATCTTTTGATGTATCCTTTTTTTCTATTATTTCTTCTTTAGAGTTAAAAAAAAAAGTTTCTCTTAATGAATTAATTGTGGTTCATACCCCAGTCCACATCAAGTTCAATTAAATGCATAGCATTGTAACAATAACAACGAATCACTTTAAAAGAAAGATAAGTTTCCACGGTCATAATGGGAAAAATTTAATTAAAGTTTACAATGAATTTACTAGCGCCAGTCACCTGTCTTTAATAGCACAGCATGACCTTCAGGTTCCCAAGGTGAATGGGGTTAAACCTCTGCCCAAATTTGTGAAGCGCTAGTCTATGCATAAGAACAACATTAATACTAAGGTTGTTTCAAGGGCATATAGTAGCTGGAGGGATTGCATTTTGCCTGTTCATAAGTAAGCCCTCACAAACAGAAGCATGGTGACACAACTTCCGTGAGTCCTGTCTCACATCCCCACAGAGCAGTCCTACAATTCGTTGTGTGTATTTACTGATGGCCCACACTTAGAAGTGAGAACACCTGTTTCTCCATTTATGGGGTCCGCCCTCTCAGGCGAGCTACCCTCTTTATTAAAACTTAGGAGGCTTGAGATTGAAAAAGAGTACATTTTGGGAATCTGTTCATAGGAAAATAACAAATCTGCATTTTGCTGGCCTAACCTTGGGCCATGTGTGTCACTCAAAGTATGGAGGGGCACTCTGAGAGGGACCTCCATCCTCAACTAGTATCCTCTATTTATCCCATGTCCCCAAGTAGCTTTCTGTATATTTTCACTTTGTCTTATTTCACTATATTCCAATTGATTATTGCCTTATTTTTGGCTAGTAGGCATCACTTTTTAATGCTAATACTTATCTCCTGTATGATGTTAACATGATTTTAGCTCTTAAGCCTGAGTGTGGTCTATCTCATCCCTAGCTGAAAGTGAGAATTTGGTGAGAGTAAGGAGCAAGCAAGAGAGGAAGGAGTAGTTTTGGAAGGTGGTTGGTTACTCCTTATTTCCCTAAGTAGCAATGTTGACAATGGGGAGATTGGGTAATTTGGTGCAATTCCTATTGTACAGTAGCCATATAGGTGCTAGGTCTGATGCTGGAGAAAAAAACAGAGAAAAAACGCCACCAACTTTTGCTTGGGAAATTTAGTATAGAAAGGGAGACAAAGGTGCCAACAAATAATTGTCATTGAGCAAGTTAAATGCACTTGCCGGAAGAGGACACTAGCGGTACCAATGGACAGTCAGAGTGGGGGTGGTGGTGGGGGGTATCGGTCACAGAATGGAGGGATGGTAAAGTGGTTCAGAATTGGGGAAGGGAAGACCCAAGATACTGGTGCTCAGAACCAATTCTGTATCATGAATGGCTAGAAATCTTTTATTTCCTTTATTTTTTACCACTGTTTCTACCCTTGTGTCTTCATTTTTCTGGATTTATTAGTTGTAAAAAATTAATATAATTATGGCTATAATACTTTGTTGATATGGAAAACTTATTTTCTTAACCAATAATTCAAATCATAGACTATTACCTGCTATCTATAAACGTGATTTAAAAAACCATTACCTTGCTATAATTGTCTTCATTTTCTGCATTGACATTAGACTAGAAGCAACGGGTAGAAGTGATAAATAATGAAGAGTTTCTAAGTGATTTACAGTCATAAGGTCTTATAACGGGCAATTTTCTCAGTCTCTCTGAGCCTGAGTTCCTTTTTCTGTAGAATGGGCTCTGAGTAGGGTCACCCAGGAATCTTTGTGAAGATCAAATTATATCAGTGTTTTATAACTGGAACTCAGGGATAAGGGTATAAATCTGTCAAATGGAGGAAGTAAGATACCTTACTAATAGGAGGGTTACTGTTAACAGAAGCCTGAATCAGGCCGTCAGGGATAGTGGAACAGGGACATGAAGAGGATGTTTTCAAATCAGACAAGTCTGGATTTAGTCTTGATCCAGTCAGTATTGACCTCATGACCCTAGGCAAATTTTTTATTCATTTTATCTTTAGGCTTACCTGCTTACTTTAGGCATCTGTACAGTGAGTAAACATGACAATTAACTGAGGTACAGAAGACAATTTCTTGTCAAATGTCTGATGCATAGTTAGTGCTCCTAGCCTCTCATCCTAATAGTTACTATTATACTCTATCATTTCTGTTATTACTATTCTTATTGTTGTTATTATTATTTATTATTGTTAAAAAGAAGCATTTGGAATAAACCTGTAAAGGAAACCTCACATATCCAAAATGTGATTGGAATAGATGATTTCCTAACCCTAAGTTTCAATTTTCTATGCTTTCATTTTTACCTCTACACTAAGCAGAATAAGAGACTTGAGGACTACATCTTCATAAGGAACTAGAACTTTCCACTTAGTCTACTTGAGTCCTCCACTTAAGGACTCCACAATAAAGATATTGAAGAGCTACCTTTGCCAAAGAGTGGAAACAAGTCTGAGAATGTTTGTAAAAGCAAGGTCTTGCTTTCCTTTCCTTGCCTCCCTCACTGGCCTTCTTCTTCCCTCAACCATCAGTTTCTGCACCTAGGAAGGTGTTCTTCAGTTTCTGAGCTAAGCAAAGGAAATGTTTGCTCAGTCGGTGTCTCATGGAGCTCTTTGCCATTCTAAATCCATCCTTCCCACACCTTGTTTGTGCCAGGACTCCGGGTACCGTATTGGTTTGAAAGCCTGGAGCCACACACCACCCACCTGGACCCTGCGGGCTCAGTACAAAATGAGCCCCGTTGGGGAGAGTGTGCTGGCATTTTGACTGAAGTTAGAAAGGAGAATCAGCCCCTGTGTGAAATTTTCTTGTAGTGTGTTTTGTGGCATACATTTAGAGGATTGTAAGATAAAGAAAAAAAGATAACGCTTCTATTAAATATTGTGTGCTAAACTATTCTAAAATGGTCCAATGGGTTACTTATTTTTATAATCCAGATCTATCTCTGGAAGATGTTATTTTTATTCATTTGTATTACTCTCTTTTTGGAAGCCCAACAAATGCAAAGTGGTTCATTAGTTGAACTCTACTGTAATTACTAAAGCTAATGAGAACAATATTTTGAATGCCAAAGCCAATTTATCAGCTACTTCTTGTAACAGAACAATTTATGTCTTTTTTCAGAGGAAATCTTCAGTGCCTACTCCGCTCTGTGGTGGTCTCCAAACGGCACTTTTTTAGCATATGCCCAATTTAACGACACAGAAGTCCCGCTTATTGAATACTCCTTCTACTCTGATGAGTCACTGCAGTACCCAAAGACTGTGCGGGTTCCATATCCAAAGGTCTGTGCTCTGATTCTTAGAGTGGTTACGTGATTTGATGGGAAGAGAATGGTTTCATTTAATCCTTTCCTGCTAATGAAAATATTGTCAGTCTCTCTTCAACAGCTTGCTGTGATTACTCTTGCTGAAGTCAACAGCATCTGGCAATTTTAAAGTATTTTTATTATCCCAGGAAAGAGTGTGATTTAAGGTTTTGTAATTTCTCCAAAAACTTTGAGGAATGACAAGCTGAAAAAGATGGGGAAAATGCTTTTGAAAGAGGTAGGGGGGTGGGGGATGAAAATGTTTGAATGGCAGAAAAGGGAGACTGTAATTGAATCAGAAGCTCATCTCATTTGTAGAAGTTGGAATGTGCCCTAGATGAAGTTGAAAGCTTAGTTATATATCAGGTTGTATTACTAATTAACCAGGATATATAACTAGTTTTAGTGGTTCTATTACAGACATGGCACTAATGTAAAATTCACATGTCCTACATATGGAATAATTGTGTCACATCTTGGTTTTTAAGACTGTTTGCATATTTATGAAAATTGAAGAGTTTTATTAAGCAGTTTCAGCTGAGAAATTGGTATTGAGGTTGAACTGGGATTTTTCATTAGCACCGTAATAATAATGACCATGGCATTGCATTTGGGAAAGTCTAATATAGTAAGATGTTTGTGCTATAAGCAGTTTGGGAAAAAGGATTTTTATTTTTACCAACTCACTCAATTTGCTTTATGAAAGGCTGCCGTTTTAGTAAGACAGAAGTTAAAGGGAAAAAAATCAGAAACTAAATATGGAGATATATTTTCAGTAGAATGTTATATTTTGATGAAACTGGTAAAAAAAATCCATAAAATATTCTCACTAAAAATATTATATTATTTCTAACTGATTTGTCAATCGAAGATCGAGGTGTATATACAAAAAGCTTTAATAGATTTCTGTCATAATACTGATTGTAAAGCTCTGATGTGGTAACCTGAACTTAGTAGAAATGATGCATTGTATCTTTGCACAAAGTATGTACATTGTGAACTTTTGTTCACAAGAATTCTTTGGATCTTCAAGTCATATATTTTTCATATGAAATGCTTCTATCTGAACCTGTGAAGGTTGTATTTTTTGACTTGCCCTTGTTCATTTTATCTACATGAAATTGTTTGACTATGTCATAATAATTTTATGGGTCATAAAATATGTATCACACATAATTATTTTAAATGTGTCATATTATTTTAGGGTCATAAGGCAGATCTTCTAACACAATTTTCAAATTGTGTGGTGATGTTATATTTTTTGTCAACACAAATTTTGTGATTTTTTTCCTCCCTTAGGCAGGAACTGCGAATCCAACTGTAAAGTTATTTATTGTAAATACTGATGCCCTCAGCTCAGGCCCTGCTGCACCTGAACAAGTCGTTGCTCCTGCTGCTATTTTGACAGCGTAAGTCTTCTGACTTAATACTTGTATTGTAAACAATTTTATAGCTCTAAGGAGAACTTTAAAAATGATGGCAGAGTCAATTGCAGGGCCTTGCCATGTCACCAGGCTGTGGCCATTCGTTCCTTCCTTCAGTACCTCTTTGGTGAACATCTACTTCATACCTTGGTGCCAGACCTGGGTCTAGTGATGGGATTGCAAGAGACCAGAGCAGACAGAGCCTCTGGTGTCATGGAGCTTATACTTGAGGTGGAAGAAGCAGACAATAATCAATAAACAAATAAAATATAAAGTTTCAAGTGAGGACAGATATCACAAAGAAAACCCACACAGGGCAAAGCTGACGGGATGAAGGGTGGAGTTAGGACAGTCCTCTCTATTGAGATAACTCATGTGCAGGATATGAAGATGGGGGAACTAACCACATAGATTCCTTGGGGGGCACAGTCTCTGGGCAGAGAGATAGTAAGTGCAAGGACCTTGCAGAGGCAATGTGCTTAGAGCATTCGAGGACCTGCGAAGAGGCTAGGGTGACTGAGTCAGCTGAGTGAAAGGGACAGAACTAGGGCATCATAGTCTGGTAAGAAATAGAGAAATTCAATCGAGCATTAAACTTAGGGTACCCCTCCTCATAACACGGATGTACCTCAAGATGTCACTTGCCTAAATAATCCTTGGTGTTTTGAAATTCTGCCTTTGAGCACCCTCAGGTCCTCATTATTTTATTGTAAAATAATCATTATGTTGCATACACTTTGTGGTTGCTGTTAAGTTGTTCTCTATTCACTTCCATCTGTCATTTTCATCTTGTTGTTGCTTTTAAATAACACCATATATTGGGCATGCACTCTTTGCCAGATACAAGGCATTATTGCATGCTTTTCTTCTTGATCTTTAAAGTAGCTCTCTGCAACATTATGATGTGACTCTTACAAATAATTATCAATAAATTTAAAGTATTTTTTCCTGAGTTTGTCCAAGGGTATGGAATACACCTGGATGTTCAAACATTTGCTGTTTAGTCCTGTCCAGCCATCTCCTCAGTGAGCTTTGATTGAGCACTTACTATTTTACCCTTACAAACCACTGTATCTTTTACACCCCCCCCACCCCCCACCCCTCCAGCCTATGAACAAGGATCTATGATCAAGGATATCAAACGGTGTAATAAATATAGTGCAAATGTAATTGAAGCAAAAACAAAGGTTGAGGTATTCCTAAGAGGGGGCCATAGGTTTTTTCATCATCCTGGGGATTCAAGAAAGTACCCTGGACAATAGAGAGAGAATTCTAGTAGGCACAGAGGGGAGGAAGGACAGGAGGCAACCTCAGTGTAGGGAAGTGTAGGGTTGTCCAGCAAAGGAGCTTCAGAGCCTGGGATGATCTCTTGTCAACAAGCAGTCCCTGCTTGCAGCAAGGATGAACCATGAGCTCCGCTCTGAAAAACATCTGGAAAGGACTTGGCTCCTCACTAGTGGCTCACAAACTTCTTTAAGGATCCAGAAACCTTTGTTTGAGTTACACACAAGGGTACAGTACAGGAAACAAGGAGATCACCACTCGTATAACATGCTCAGTCCTTGTCCTCTGCTGGGCCCCAGGGGTCGCAGGAGCTCAGATAGACCTGCACAGTTCTAGAACACACTCAGCACATAACTGTGAGATTCAGTTGAGAGAACTGAGGCTCAGGAGTCTGTTCAAGGTCTCACACAAAGTGGATGTGGGCACTGGGAATAGGACAGAGCCCTGCACCTGCAGGACCAGAACATGTGAGTCATCCTACAAAATGTACTGCATGCTGCCTGTGAGCCAGACTGCACTCTCTCTGCTCACCCCACTCACACTGTCTATTACTCCTCACTCACATCACCTCTTATTCCTCATGCACTCTCCACAGTGTCACTTTCACAGCCACCTCAGAGAGAACAGGCGCAGTCTTCCCCACTTGGAATCTTTCCGAGGCATAGTTGTCAACTGCTGAGCCTAAAAAATAAAGCCATTCTGAGGTGCCCTTCTTCTCCCAAGTGGGGTCATCTCTAAGCCCTTGTTTTTTTGTTGTTCTTTACTCGGGGAGCAGGCTAATCACTCACTATGTCCTCTGGTGATATTCTGTGTGAGACTTACTTTGCCAAAGAATCATATTTTTTTAGAACTGCCATCGTAATGTGCTTGTTGCATAGGGAAGTCAAACCCAGCTCTGGTCTCTGTTAATGCCTGTAATATCTTACCTTTTCTAAAGCCAGGCTCCAGGTCTTCTGGGATTCTAGTCCTTGTGATACTTTGTTTTCTGGCCTCCTGCAAAGATCCAGAAGGGCCAAATTTAAGCAGAAGCATTATGCCTCTCAGTCAACTACCCAATACCCTCTGCTGTTACCCGAGGCCAGCACTGTCTCTGTTAGGATCAGCGCATTTTTTCCCCCTTTACCCCCACACATTCCATCTGCCCTCACCCCCACATATTTCCCTCTGAGGCCTTGTCCCGTGATCATGAAATCCAACAATAGGATAAGGCAGGTTTGCAGTTGTGATGGGAACGGGCTTCACCAATGAAGCAGGGTTCCAGGCTTCCCCTCCTACAGTCCGAGCCTGTCCGACACTCAGGTGCGCCTCCTGCTACCTTCATGGATTTTGAGTTCAAGTCGATCAGCTGTTCATTTGTATTACTACTTATAAGTAATCGAAGGGCTCAAAATGTTTGAGACCAAACACAATGAGAGTTCTAAGCCTCCTAACTGTTATTTAGAGCCTGGATTTATATTGCTGACTTGAATTTAGACAAGTTTTATACGTAGAGGTCAAACTGACAATGCTCTCTCCACCACCTAGCAGACTGCCTGGGACGTGACAAATGCCCAATTAATATTTGTAGAAGGAATGAATAAGTAAGTTAATGAAAGGACAAATAAGGAATATTATACCCGTGACTTGTGTACACGGCCTAGGCATTTCTCCAGCCGACCCTGAGATGGCCTTCACATGTCCTTGTATGGCCATTCTTTTTCCTGCAACTTCCCAGCCATCTGCCATTACTGTGACCTGAAGCTAGATTAGGGAAGACATACTCTCTGTTGTATGGGGTGGCCGCATCCAGCACCTGCTGAATAGTGTGGGGAACCATCACATGCAGCTCACAACCTGCTCCACCCAGTTTCACTGTTCCTGAGATGACACATCTTGCTGCACATCCTCTGAAAAGCTAAGGACCCTTGCTCTATGAAGTAGGGATGTCGCAGTGCTCACTGTCACACAGGAGGCATGATGGGCCCTGGAAGCTAGCCACAGCAAGGAGGTGGGATAGGGGCTCTCCATCACTGGGCACTCCTTCCTCGGATCCACTCCATCTCACCCCACCCATTCCTCTGCTCAGCGATCTGTCAGCGGCCCTGGGAAGGTTGGCATCCCTATCAGAGAAGAGGGTGGCATGGAGCCCAAGGCCAGCACTGGCAGGACGCCTGCTTCCTTGGGTGATTCACTGAATTAATCACTCACAGTCTGCAGTTGCTCTTAGTAGCATTTTTCTCTCAAATATTCTTTCTATTTAGTAATGTGTACTTCATTTGAAATATCCTTAGGCTACTAAAAGAAGCATTTACGTGATTTAGAGGGGTTACTGGCACTCAACATTTATTAAATACCTACTGTTTGTAAAGCACTAAAATACAGTCATTTTACATATTCCTGTTGCATGATTTTAAAAAGAAAGTCTCTTTTCATGCTTTCAAGTCTGATTTGCTTTATAAAATTCCATTTATATACAATTCTATGGGAATAAATAAATTTCTCTGAGTGAGGAATAGTATTCTGAAAAGAAGTAGAGGGTAAATCTAGCAAGCAATATTCACCAGAAAATGGGTGAAGTTGCTACAAAGGGAGGGACTGGGAGAAGGAAATCAGGATGCAATAGCTTGATTTGGATCTTGGCTCCAGCACTTTCCAATGTGTGACCCTGGGTCAAGTTATTTAACCTCTTAGCACTAAGCTGTTTTTCTTGTCTGCAAAACGTGCAATTACTTGACTTACTCTCTGCAAATATCTTAACCTTTTCTTATTTGCCAAGCATGAATGCTAACGTTGTTACATCGAAGAGTGGTCAGGAGCTTTGTGTGAAACACAGAATAATTCCTGGCACATGTAGACTCCACATGGCTGTAAACTCTATTATTATGATAAATCACTCCATTGCTGTAATATTAGAATCTCTCCTATTCCCTTTGGACTCCTCCAGTTGCAGAAGTTAGAAAAGCTTGCTGGATCCCTATTTCTGACCTGGGACAGGCAGGCTGCTTGTCTGTTTTTGCAGGGTAAAATTGGCATGTGGTACAAAGTACAATTAACAAGACTACATGCTGGATTTTTCTGGTCTTGAGACAAATCTTATAGTTAAAAGTATAGACTGATTTCGTATAAGGAGTTGGTGACTCCTTTGTTTCTTTCTCATAACTCCTTGACTTCAGCTCAGGGCTGGCTCATGCATCCTCATCCTCTTTCCCTTTCATCCCAAGTCTGTATAGAAACTGGAAGAGCAGGGCCTTCCCTGGTGGTGCAGCAGGTTAAAACACAGCACTATGAAGCTAAAAACATTTCAGCACAAGTTCGATTCCTGGCCAGGGAGCTGACCCACATGGCGTGGCAGACCTCTCCTGACCTGCCCACTGCTCCCCTCAGCAGTGTACTTCATCAATCTGCCTGTTCTGCTCCCCACTCTGTCTCTGGTGAATCCTCTCTGGCCTGTACCCCAGTTCTGTCTGAAGGCATAAATAAATCTTTAAAAAAAAGGGAAGAGCAAAGGTATGTTTACATGCGAATTTCAAATGTAGTGGCTGTGGCTCTGGCACGCCACTTGTATCGATTGCTCACTGGTGGGGCCAGAGTACACACGAGGATCTGGAGAGTGACAAAGGTAGTAGAAAACACAGGTTTTACAAACGTTGAGCTAGAAATGGGCAGGGAAGCTGGAGATACACACTAGTTCCCTGGAAGGCTTCCCAAATGTCATTACTCCATGCTTTAAATGGGGTTACACGAGTTTTTTACTGCTGATTTCTGAACCTGAAAGTATTAATTTCATCAGATCTAAAGCTGTGTTGTGCCAAGTCACTCTCTAATCATAGTAAGGAGTATTTTTTTAACCCCCTACCAAGGCAATTTAGAAAAAAGGGAAGTCCAGCTTCCCAATTGATGCCTGTGGAGTGCTTGGAAATTGGGTACATGGTATGGGGAGGCTATTTTTTCTTCCCACCAAAGCGCATCATTTTAATCAACTGTTTTAGGGTTTTTGACCTAAAAACATGAGAAGTGCTGGTGTGGTGCAGGGGTTAGCACCCAAGGACCCCCCAGGTAGATCCAGCCCCCACCAGCCCCACCACCACTGTCTGTGTGGTTCACAAGGGCTTAGAAGTGCTTAGAATTACAATGCTTTTTACTCTGTTCAATCAAAAGGGGAATCATGCTTCATGACATGCTAAGATAATTTGAACTTCAAGTTTCAGCCACACTCATCTGTTCATGCATTTTCTTTGGCACCTCTGTGCTGCAATAGCAAAGTTGAGTAGTGATAAAGACATGTGATTTGCAAAACTTAGAAGACTGGGATCAAGGCGGACGGGAAGTACACACGGGAGTATGGGGATGGCTCATGGGTGAATTGGTGGTGGGAATGTTACGGGGATGGCACCTGAGAGGAGAAAGCAAACATTGTACAAAAATGAACAATGCTGTAAAATATATATAACTATTTTTAAAATACTTTGATGATTTACTTTTTTAAAAAGTAAACCTTTTTCCTGAAAAGTTTTCATACACCTGGTCTAGAAAATTAATTTCAAAAGGTTTCATTTTCTGCCTTGGGTTTCATTCTTTTCTTTCCTTTGCAAGTATTTATTTCTGACTTAAAAAAAAAAAAAAAAACTTGGGCCCTCCCTCGTGGCACAGCAAGTTAAAGCACTGCTCTAAGAAGCTAAAGCCACTTCCGCATGAGTTCGATCCCCGCCTGCCCCAGAGGTGACCACATGGCGTGGCAGACCTCTCCTGACCCGCCCACTGCTCCCCTCAGCAGTGTACTGCGTCGATCTGCCTGTTCTGCTCCCCACTCTGTCCCTGGTGAATCCTCTCACCCTCCGCATCTCTGGCCTGTACCCCAGTTCTGTATGCAACAAGTACTGCCTGGGAGAGGTCTGCCGTGCCATCCTGTGGGTCACCTGTGGGGTTTTAGCTTCTTAGTGCTGTGCTTTAACCTGCTGCACCACCGGGGAGGGCCCATATTTCTGACTTTCAATAAGATTTGCCTTCTCCTTTTATCATTTAACTCCCCTGCATTGGACATAATAAGACATAGACTTGATGAAATGCCCTTGTTCTCAGGCCTGGAGGGGAAACAGAGACCCTGCAGCTTGGTGGTTTTATCAGAGGACCAGTGATAGGGTGTAGAAGGAAGGGGTTTCCAATGAGCAGCCTGGACAGGGGATATTTAGAAAGATTCAAAGAAGTTAGGACATAGCAGCCGTGTCAAGCCAGAGGACAGGTTGAACCAAGGGGAGCTCCCAGTGGACATTCATGTAACACCAGCTGTGCAGAACAGATGCTGTATCAGAGAAAGGATTAGAATGGAGAGTTTATTTCTAAGAATTATTAATAGGAATGTGGTGCTTTGCTGCTGAGGGAAAGGGGTTTGGGCTTCTGTCAGTTCCTGCTCCCTGCATCCAAGTCAGCCTGGAGGCCCAGGCAGTCCTTGTTGCACTCACACTCTAAGTGTCCCCAGCTAAAAGAGGAGAGTGAAGTGGTGAGGCATGTGGAGTGCTTTATCCATGAAGGACAGACCAGGAGTCTTCCCTTTCTTCAGTGCTGTATCACTGAATTTTAGTGAGTGCCTGTTTTAGGTCAGGTACTCTGCTGGGACTGGGGAGACCCTGGGAAAAAGATAGTGGGCGTAAGAGCGTAAGAGTCAAGCAAGGAGAGAAAAGTGACAAGAGCAAGGGAATGGCCCGTCTGTGAAAGAAAGGGGGCAGCTGAGGTGAGGAAAAGGATATGATCAAGGCCAGATTGGAGGGAGGGGAGCAAAGATTCCTCTGGAAAAAAGAAAGCAAGGCTTGATCAGACACTGCAGAGGAGTGATTTTAAAATCATACAAAATCATTCTGAGGTGTGAGGGAGCAAATAAAATAAAACATAAAGAGCAAGTATGTTAGGGAGGCTCACAGAAAAGTAAATTATGAAATCCATGTATCTCACTATAAATCAAAATGTAATCCCAAAACATTTTAAAGGAATGTGTTGAGTAGTATGTCATGCTATAGAGATCTCTATTTGTATAAATAACTATTTGTACAAGTAGGTAGCTCTGTTTGTATAAATGTATGTTAACATGCCAGAGGGTGCCTTAAATTCTTCATGTTTCACATTTTGATTCCTGAGAAAATTTTTTAGACTAAAATTGTTTGATTGCTATAGTTTATAGGGATGTGAGTCAATTTTTTTCCTTATATGATAATGAAGTTGGGAAAAGGGTCAGCTCTAATTTTACCCTAATAAGTAGAATTTTCTAGGGTGACCCATCAAATAAGCAGAAAATATTCAAATCTCAGTCTGTAATCCTGGCCTCACTGAAATGTTCCCTCAGCAGAAAAGATGGGGAAATACCACCCTGCACTGCCCAGAGACACCAAAGGCCAAGTTAAGAAATTCTGAGTCATGGCATAAATCACGGATGTCAAATCACTATGTGACTATTAGCTGCTATTTTTCTGTCAGCTATATTATAATTCCCATTCAAATTAAATTGCACTTTAAACATTAAGAAAAGGTAAAATATTATGATTTAAGTGGTTTCAATAGCCATTTAAAGTTTCCCATTAAGGATTGATTTCATTGAGTAAGATTTGTGCCAAGATCTGGAAATAATTACCCTTTCTCCTTTCTCTACTTCCCTCTCTCCCCACTCCCTCCCTTCCTTCTTTCTTTCCTTCCAGGGATCACTACTTGTGTGACGTGACATGGGTGAACTCAGAAAGGATTTCCTTGCAGTGGCTTCGGAGGATTCAGAACCATTCAGTCATGGATATTTGTGACTATGTTAGCTCAGAGAGAAAGTGGAATTGCTTGGTGGTAAGGATGAATGAACGCAGTCTGTTTTTAAGGCTGAATGTGATCAAAGGACTCTGAAAACAGTAAGAGTGAGTGGTTGGGAATTAGGAAATGAAGTTTGAGTTTCTATTATTTCTGCTCTGTGTCTGAACCTGAAGAAGAGGGTAAGTCCGGACTAACTTTTAAGTGACATGATGTCTGGTATTCTTCTAATTCACCTTCACTCCTTAGTCACACTTTCTTAGTTTTGGGTTTCCATCATACAGGAAGGCAGTGGTGCTGACTGGAAACCCCAGAAGCTAGACTTTAAAGTCATAATTCAAAAAGAGGGTCGGGGCTGCAATGTCAACACAGTGTGTTTTCAATGGAGAAAGTACAGGGAATGGGGATTATTGACTAATTTGGTGAAACATAACAAATATCTAGAGGTCACAAATCTGTTGACTGCTTTGAGGCACTAAAGCTTTAGAACATAGGAGAATACCCACCAAACTGAGGGGTGGCAACACTGAGGCATAGGCAAATATTAATCCTATCCTTGAGGTCCAGGGGTGCCCTAAGCTAGAGGCCACAAAGTCTAGCCTAGCTGGAAGATGGGAATTAAAGTCCAATTTGGTGGTCTGCAGACTCTGGAGGGGGGGGGGGTGGTCAGTGGGATACTTGCTGGTGTATTTTTAAAAAGTCTCAGAAAAACATTGTTTTTCTGGAAATGGGGAGCCCGGGCCCTTATCTCCCCTCTCTCCCTACTGCTTTCATCCTGGTTGACACAGGGAGACTCTCAAGTCAGAAAGTTTGGTCACCCCATATCTTGATACAGTCATTATTTATTTTTGCAACAACCAAATATATTTTTTAAATGAGTGAGACAGTATACCTGTTCCTTGAATGTGTATGTTCTATTAGCATATTCCATTAGCAAAATCAATAATAATAGTTAATGTTTCTTGACCTCTCGCTATAGCCAGATTTTTTTTATATAATAGTTTATTTTTTACATCATTTTGAACTTTTTTTTTTCATCTCAATTGTAATCCCCATGGGTTTCCCATCACTGAGTCACCCGTGAGCCATCACCATAGTCACATGCATTTCCCCCGCCTCCCCGATGTAGCCAGATCTTAAAGGGTGAGGATCAGTCTGATTAAAGGAGTTTAATCTGGTGACCTAAATAGGTATGTGCAAGGTACAGAGAAAATACACTTGTTCATCTGTATGATCAGCTTGACTGGGCACAGGCAAAGTGGCGTGGAGATACATGCAAAAGACCCGCAATAGTCTGGGTTGGGGAGATGAAGTCACAAAGACCATGTGAACGGAGGCTGTACAGAGGCATCCAGTGTGAGTACCTTGGTGCATGCAGGAGCCAGAGGACTAATCAGGGCAGAGAAATAATTGCAAGAACTAAGGTTGGAGATAGTGACTCAAGGACTCTAAGGAGTTGGGACCTCTGGTAGGAGCTGTGAAGCTGTTGAACATTTTTGAATGAGAGGCTCCTGGTGACATAGAACTAATTTTCAGATGAAGTTATCTGGGGACTGAACAGGACAGAAAGCTGACTGGGAGGAGAAAGCTGACTGGGTTTCGGCCAGGAGATCAGGCAGTGGACCACGGGAACCTACTGGATGTGAACTAACGTAGTATGAAGAAGGACAAGAGAAGTCAAGGAGGCAGATGGCAGGGGCTGGGAAGGAGGGGTGTGACTAAGTGAGGAAGTTTAGAATAATTCTTGGTCTTAATACTAGAGTGAAATGGTACCACTGACCGGAAGAAGAATGAGAGAGGAAGAATGAGTTGGTGAGGTGGAGGAAAGATAATGATTTTATCTTCAATTTTGCACATGTTGAATTGAAAATTCTCGTAGAGCTGTGAGGGCAGCACATGTACTCATAGCTTTAGGCAAGAGAGGCAAAGTGATCTCAAGTAGTTATGTAAAATAGCCTAACATGAACGGAGGTAGTATTCAATTATGTTATTACAAGTCCATTTTGGCTTCTATTACTACAAATTCCTGCTAAAGAGTAGAATTCCTCATCTCACATTTTAAACACTTTGTATGTTTTGCTCGCAGGAACGGCAACACACTGAAAACAGTACGACTGGCTGGGTTGGAAGAGTAAGTGCCTAAGAACTACTGGTGTTTCTGTAATTAAGTCTCAGCCCCTCAGTTACCGAACACTAAGATATAACCAGAGCCCTGTATTATTTGTTATTCAGAGAGATCAGTGACCTATTTCTCAAAATATTTAAGTGTTTTTTGAAGAGCTTTTTTTTTTTTTCTAGAGAATCTGTAACATACACACTGGAAAAAGTAAGATGACAATTGAAACATCGAGAGAACAGACTAAATAAAATACAGATGCTACACAAATTGTAGCTCCCAATAATTTAAAAAGCAAGCATTGCTGACAGACTGCCAAGACTCTGAATGCGCTTTGACCTTCTATTTGAAGTTGTGTGCTTCAAGGGGCAGTAAATGCGGTTTCAACCCGCAGCAAGCACAGCTGCAGGCAGATCAGATCTACAAATACCTCTTTGTAGCACTTTACAAGGTCCTCTACTACAAAACTTACTCAAGAAATCATGGTGATTCTCCGACGCTCCTCCAGCTTCTCACTTCTTGTGCAATGGGCCAAATCACCAGCCCCTTTGTTGAGAGACCGTAGATTCAAGAGAGATAATGAAAGATCTCTGGCCATCATGGCACCTCTTGTGAGAGATGAGGAATGAATCTCACCTGATTTTTATGACCACTTCTATTAAGCCTCTTTTCAAAGAGAAACAAAGTGGGACACACAAAATAAGCGCCCCTTTTCCCACGTCTTGGGGCACAGAAAGGAGGGCCCCTAGACCATGCAGACAACACTTCCAACTAGGCTCTGATCCCATTCACATGTCCTTTTTCTTCAGGCATTGATTGGGCAGAGGGGAGAGGTTTGCCAACATGAAAAGTGGTTTCCTCCATGGCAAGAGACATGCTACACTTCCTCACGACTCTTTGAAAAAAATATGTTTTTTCCTCTCTGTATTTAACCAGACAGATGCCACTTTTCACACATTTCTACTAGGCACAACTCCATCCAGGGGAAACAGGGAAATGTATTAAAAAGATAAGGCTGTGAACACAGGTCTAGAGAGGGGAATGTGTTTCAGAGCTCTGTAATGAGAACACCAAGTGTACTGCACGCCCCAGCTTGCTCCATAAATGAATTCGTTTTGAATCACTAAATAGAAAAGGGAAGCATTTTTCTTCCTTCCCAAAATGGGAGCTGATGAGAGAGGAAACATCGAGGTGAAGTGAACCAACAATTTTAAAAGGCCATCTACCTGCTCTCAATGTAGCTAGGAAAGCGAAGTCATGAAGCAAAATACTCCTTTCAGATTGGGATAAATACTCCCCTCTGCTAAATCACACCACTTTCTGTTAAGTCTCTTTTATCAATTTGTAAAAAATGGAAATTTTGTTCTATATGTCCATACCACTATTTTTATGTAATCTGTTGTTCATATTTAGCAAAATGCCATGACTTAGAGTAAAAATATATGAATATATCCTTATAAAATAGACAACCAACATTACTTATGGCATCTGGTCTAGAAATAGACATTGTAAGTCTGACTTTCAAAAAGAAATATGTGTATATATGTATAAAAATAGGGGGGAAATTTCCTCAACACCCCTCCTGACATAGTAAAAAAATAATGTTTCAAGAAAGCACATTTTTAACATTGGGGAAATGAATTTCTTGAAATTAAAGGTTAATACTAATTGTGCCCACATATTTGGACATCATAGTTCTCCATTGCAAGGTGTCCCAAAATAATGGTAACCACTTTTAAGTGGAGTGCCCTGTGTGAACCTTGTTAAGTGCATGCTTTCACTTATTACACATACATACACACACCCACACCCACACACAAATCCCCACAGAGGATGTAGAGCTTTTGTATGCATTTTTTAGACGGATAATTTTCTTTTGAGACACTCAGTTTCATTTGTTTCAAATGTAGCCTGGGTTTTGAGCATAGATGTCAGGAGGACTTTCTGAATCTAAGACGAGACATACGTGCTCTAATAAGTTTTTTGTTTTCTGTTATTTTCTAGTTCAGGCCTTCAGAACCTCATTTTACTTCTGATGGCAATCGCTTCTACAAGGTCATCAGTGATCCAGAAGGCTATAAACACATTTGTCTTTTCCAAGTAAATGAGCAAGTGAGTATTCTTACATAATTTATTTCAGGTGGATACCCCTTTTTTGGAAACATACTTGAAATGGAAGTAATTTGGTAACATCATTCAATGTATACAAATAATCAGACTAATTCACATTCCCTGGTGGTATAATAGAGTAAGGTGGGACAGGGTAGAGAGAGCCAAAATAACTGAGATTATTTGAATTCCTATTAGAAATGATTTCATCCTCAACTTTTATTAGAAAGATAATTTTATAATCTCCTCTTTTTAAAATCGCATCAGAACTGCAAGTTTATTACAAAAGGAGAGTGGGAAGTCATCGGAATAGAAGCTCTTACGAATGATTACCTGTGAGTACTCTAATCATCGGTAGGATATAAACATACTCGTAGCAATCACACCCTCTTTGCCCAGAAATAGGGGAAAATTTCCTACAAATAAAGAGTAGTCTATTTGGAATGTGTTCAGTACTTTTTTTTCTTTTTAACATACGGAAGCCTTAATGATTTTCACATATGCTCAGCAGATTTGATACCATGCCACCAAGCAGTGCTACCTCTTGCTCTTACCTGCTTTACATGAGAAGAGTTTGTAGCTTCTCTTTCTTATGCATCTTGGAACATTTTTTTTTTAAATTGGGCATTTTGTTAAATTTCAGCTGGCACTGAATTTTCGGAAGATTTGGAGAGGCTATTTTATCTGTCCATGTCTGGGTGTTACTCTTTGGAAAATGGGGGACTTTGTAGAGTCTGTCAGCTACCACACATTTAATGCTGGGAAAGAGAATTATTTTCATTAGAATGTTAGGCACTTTTCTATATTTTTTCAAGGTCTCAGCAGAGAGAAATTTTGCCACTGCCCAAAGTAGTTTTTGAAGATCCTCTTTAAAGGTGTTTCTGCCACTCTCAGGAAGATGGGCTTCTGCCATCTAGTATTGTAGTTTGTGTTATAAGATAGAAATATGCAAAACTGTAGAGATAAATGGGTCTCAACTTCAGACAAGTTGTCTAATCATATTTTTCTTATAAAAATCTTTTGAGTTTCTCCTTGCCACTTTAACTAAGGAAGGAATCCTTAATTAACCGTTATTCTCACACATTCAGATACTTTAGTTTGTTAAACCAGAATTTACTATTTAGAGATGATAAGGGAGAAATGGTGACTGAAAGTGAAGGCAGGGAGCAATGATAAAAGGCAAACTCTAGTGCACATGCCGGGTTTGATTTACTGGCGTGTATGTGACTATTCTTAAAAACATAATTAATATATATTTCATCTGTTTTCTCCGTAGGTACTATATTAGTAATGAATACAAAGGAATGCCAGGAGGAAGGAATCTTTATAAGTAAGAATTCTTATGAAGCTGCTGATGAGTCTCTTTAGCTAATGCATAATTTCTGGGCTCTTTGTTTTATTTTTGTTTTTTCCTCCTGTCTTCACTAATACATTAAACTGCTAGTGAGTGCTTTTATTCCTTTATTCTTTTTGCATGTCAGCAAAAGAGAATGCCTTTAGTAACTATTTTGTGATATTTCCAAACAATGGAAGGTTTGAGGTTATTTTTAATTTCTTCATGTATTTATTTCACATTGAAAAAGTTTTTGAGGGTTAATTTGGCTCTGTGCTATCTTTGAAATTAGATTACAGCATTATTCCATTCTTTCTTACCATTTATCCTTTCATCAAGCACTTAATTTCCACCATTGGCTTTACAGAATCCAACTTAGTGACACCACGAAAGTGACATGCCTTAGTTGTGAGCTGAATCCAGAGAGGTGTCAGTACTACTCCGTGTCTTTTAGTAAAGATGCAAAGTACTATCAGCTGAGATGTTCCGGTGAGTCTGGCTTATCCGGTGTGGCTCTCCCTGCCCCCTGTTGCTGCTTTCCAAACTTTCCCTCCATCTCAAGGCTGTTATTACCTCCTCTGTGAACAAACACAATCTCCTCATTCCTGAAATTTCCCTTTCTGTGTCCAGTTTGGGTGATGTTCTCTCTGCCCTGCTCAAGTTTCTCCATTAAAATCTGAAGATGATGTGGCCCTCCCTGGTGGGGCAACGGGTTGGGACACAGCACTGTAAGCTGGCCACAGTCACTTCAGTGCAAGTTTGATCCCCGGCCCTGAGGTGATTCACCCACATGGTGAGGCAGACTTCTGACCCGCCCGCTGCTCCACTTAGCAGTGTACTTTGTGGATTTGCCTGTTCTGCTCCCCACTCTGTCGCTGGTGAGTCCTCTCACCTCCCTGCACCTCCGGCTTGTATCCCAGTTCTCTATGCATAAATAATAAATCTTTTTTTAAAAATCATGAAGCTGATGTAAGTCTTCCTCTCTTTGCTCATGTTTAAATGGTGAATTGGCCACCTGTAATTCTTATGGTGACCAAGAGACTTGCATAGCTTGCATTAAACCCCAGAGCTTATGTCCACCAGTGATGCTTTCTCTTCTGTTGCTATTGTAAAATTAGTTATTATTAATTAAGAAAGCTGGGATTTCCACTGATCACACAGTAACAGACACAGCAGGATTCAAACATAGGCTGCTGCCTCCCAGCCCTCCTTAGCTCTGTGCTAGATCATGTCTCAAAATAAGATGAAGAATCTGGATAATTTGAAAAAAAAAATCCATTATTAAAAATAGGTAATTAGTTATCTGAAACTTTCTTTACTAGCATATATATATATATATATATATATATATACATATATATATTATATTTTTCTTCAGTGGTTTCTTACTTATAACTGCTTCCAATCACCATTTCTTGGGCCTGTGTTTTATACTAGGCACAGTGCTGAAATTTTATATTCATGATCTTGTTTCACCCTTAAGAAAACTCTGTAAAGTAGGTATTATCAATTTCATTTTGTATGTGGGGAGATCGAAGCATAGATAAGTTGTTCTAAGCCATCAGGCAGGTATGCCAAGATTCAAACCCCGTTTGTATAATGTCTTCCCTGTGCTGCCGCTCCCATGTAAAAATTAATATTATTATCCAAATGCATCAAAATAAAGTTGCTCACAAAATCACTTTTCCATATATTACCTTTCACTCAGCAACTACCACATTTGGGATACATTTGAAGACATGTACTTGTGAGAAAAACACTTTCGCATGCCAGAAAGGAATGGCTTATCCAAGTCAGGCACTGTGCAGATGTGCCGCCGGGCTCCCGGACTCTGTGGAAGTGGGGCAGCCTGAGGGAGGAACTCTGTCAGGGCCTGGGAGCCTGCGCCAGAGCTCCGCCCTCAGGAGGCGGGGCCTGAGTCGGTGTGGTCATGTGGCAACCAAATGTGGAGTGAGCATTGGGAGAATAGCAGCTTGCTCAGTGTCCCTCTGGCTTAGGTGACAGATGAGGACCTCGAAGGATCATCTGCTACTTCATTCTGTTGAGCTGTGCCTTTCTGGTAATAGGTGTTACGCTCAAATTACACTTATTTTAAGGGAAAAGAGAAACAGCTAAAACATTAAACCTCTTATCCATTATATTCTGTCAAAGTTAAATGGTAACAAATGCTGTTATTGAAAAGCACACTGTCTTTCTTTCTTCACTTATGTAAAACATGCTTTTTTTTTTCCTGATTATGTCAACAGGCCCTGGTCTGCCCCTTTATGCTCTGTACAACAGTGGGAATGATAAAGGTATTTTTCTCATATTTCATCTTTCATTGCTATTGGAAAGTTTGTGTGAATAGGAGTAAGTGCTTTGTATAGTACAATTTGCTTTGCTTTAATGTCTCCACAGTGACTTGAACACAAGGCTTACTACTGCAGTACATGTGGTGTAGGCAGGCAATTGTCAGAGTGCTCCTTATTGCCTTGAACATTCCCAATTCTCCACGTTATAAATAGTTACTGCTCTCTCTCATAATTTTTTAGAAGTGAGAGTCCAGGAAGATAATTCAGCTTTGGACAAAGCGCTTCAGGATGTCCAGATGCCCTTCAAAAAACTGGACTATATTATTTTGCATAACACAAGTAAGTAAAATTTCTCTTTTAACAGAACTTTAATAAAAAAAATCAATCAAATATAAATATGATCATTTTATATAGAAATCTAATCAAGGTTACTTTTCCCTGAACTGTTCTAAGAACTATTACTTGAAAAGCAATACCAATCTTTGTAAAATTTATTCTGATAAGAGAAAAGGTATTTGGAGAAAATGTACTGGTGTTGGATCCATTTTGTACTATTAGTAACTCTGTTCTGTTGTTAAGTACCAATTATGCGTGGCCCTTGAATCGGTTTTGAGTGGCGAGGTCTATAGTGCTAACTGCACAGCCTGGTGCCGAAGGCACTGAATACTGAAGGGTGAATTAATGTTTTACTGCTCACTGTTAGTAAACAGTGAGGAGCTCCTGAAAGTTTTAGTGTCAGCGACTTGACAATATAGGATGGGCTGCAGGGGTGAGGGGAGGGTGTTCAGCTGGGAGGTGGTTTTTCCATTCAAACCTGGAAAGAAAGACCTGAGGAGGAGGACAGAGAGCAAAGAGGTGGGTGAGGTTTTGGTATTAAAACAAGCCAGTCCTCCCCCCAAAAAAGCCAGCATCTGCAAAAGGCTAAACTAAACTAAAACTTCTAATCACTTAGTGCTGATTCTAAGGACAGATCAAGTAAATGGTGTGTTTTGCATATTTATTTAAAAGTCTTGATCATAGTGTGACATTCTATTTAATATAATAGGCTTAAATTATTTTTAACTAACATTTAATCAGAAGGCATAGTATAAGCAACGAAAATACAACTTAATCTTTCTGTTAAAGATTTTACTCCTAAACCCTTTTTTCCCTCAACTGTCATAATTGTAACAAAAAAAGGAGAAGAAGAAGGGAAAATGTGGAGAAGAAGTTCTAGAGATAAGGATTTTTTTTTCCCTTACAGGTTAAATCTATTATAGCTGGAAAAATATTCTTACTAAATATGGAACATTAAAAGTAATTATTACTCTAAGTTATCATGCTGATTTTGGCAACAACAACAAAAAAACTAATTCACTATTTCAGGGAAAATAAAAGATTTAAGCTGATGTTAAATCAAGCCCAAAGAATTAAAAGATCTGCAGAAGATCATATATAATGTACACAGCCTTTTGCTTCACCTAAACCTGATTTCATTCTCTGCAACAACAGAGTGAAACTAGGGAATCAGCATTAAGGTCTGGGTGGCAATAAAAATAAAAATGTTATTAAATCAGAATTCTAAAATAGAGTTGGGGTCAACTACAGATCTCAAACATCTTCAAGGAAATTCAAGAAAAGGAAAACATTTTGGAGGAAAACTTAGAACATAAGCCATAAACAAACTAGATGAGTAAATCAAATGCCAAAGAACTGAGCCATAAAAACAAAACATTAGCAATTCTAAAATGCATTTTTATTTTACAAGGCACCCATATATTTAGTAGATACATGAAAAACAACTTTATTGTTTTCACCTTAAGGAGTAGTTTAACCTGCAAGAGAATGTTTTTATATCATTAAAAACACTGAATCTATACAGTTCCTTTTCTTTTTCTATTCTAATTTAACACACCGTTCAGCTCCAGCTATCACTTATCATTGAACAGAGATAAGGAAACAAAATCATGTGTCGGTAATAGCTCTTTATTCTAATTGATCTTTCTGTTTGTTTAGAATTTTGGTATCAGATGATCTTGCCTCCTCATTTTGATAAATCCAAGAAATATCCTCTACTAATAGATGTGTAAGTATTCAAGAGGAGGGAACAATTTAGATACTAACCAGGTATGTAATTTGTGCAGGCACGTTACTGGACAATAAAGCAAAATGCTTTCTCTCTTCCTGAATCATGTAGAAGCAGTTTTGCTATTTTTTACTTCCACTTTTCAATCACAAACCCCATATGTTTATGTTCTACATTCTTTCTAATGGAGAAGATAAATACTCTTCTCTGATCATAAAGGCATATGGATTTTGTTTGGCTTTGTTTCCTTGTCCCCTGAGGGAACACCAAAGGAATTCTCATGCTCCCATTTTCACCCTTACTTCACCCTCCTGGACATTTTAACAAGTTAAGGATGGGTATTAATAATCCTTACAGTTTCCTTGCCCCCAAACTCATCCAAACAGCTCCCCTTGTTGCCTTTCATGCATTAAGCTGTCAGGTATTTTTTTTTTTTTTTTTTGTATTTTCCATTTACTTCTACAATGAGGAGAAGATGTGGCAGAGGAGAGTGTTCATCATAACCTAAAATTTCTGCATATCTTAGTGTTTTCAGAAATCCGGCGTCTAGCAGTAATGCAGCAATGTGAACAAATGATTCTAAATATGATAGCTTTGTAAAATATTTTTGATAATTATTATGATTACGTTTTACTTTAATCCTTTGAAGGTATCAGGCCATCATGGCCCTCTCCCTATCCCAGCCTGCCTCAGTTCCTCTAGGAAAAGAAAATCAACAAATGTACTGGCATGCCTGCTGCATGCCAGTAATTTGTCTTACTTTATTCACCCTCACAGCAAACCAACCTGATGATTGTTGAACCCATTATATAGAAAGCTGAAATTTTAAAACAGCAAAAGTGAAGAGATACAGATACGAGCACCAAACATAGCCTGACTCCACTGTACTTAAAATTTCATATACCCAAAACATAAAAGAGAAAGCTGTATTTTAAACTGATTTCTATTTGATTGTTATTAAATCTAATTTTGACTAGAAAGACAGTAACTTGCTTTATAGACTTTAGCCCCAATATTAAAAAATTATCCTTTAGAAAAGAATGTTAGATTTATATTATTTGACTTCCAGTAAGTAATGCAAGATCTCTTCTTCATTAGGAAAGTTTAGAAAACATGGTAAACTTAGTGCCCGTTCCATTTTAGTTTGTTCCTCTTCCTGTCCTTAGTTACCTAAATCTGTACATTCTATTTTTAAAAATAATGTTTAATCTTAAAGTGTTAGGTAAGTTGTTACATAACTAATATTAAAGGAAGCTATTACCCTCCCAAATTTAATATCATTGAAAGGGCCAAGGCATTTCACATGCTGTTAAAAAGTGTTTAACATGCAAGAAATGCATGAATGTGTTCTTCTTTTTACAGTTAGAATGTTATGATATTTAGCTTAATTAACGTAATACAATATTTTGTTTCAAATTCTTTTGACTGCCATTCCTAAGGAGAGGGAGGAAAATGTTAGCCAAGTCATGCAAACGGGACTTGTCCAATCCTAGGAAAGGGGGCTGGAAGCTGGGTGGGGGGATATTGAGCAGATGAGAAGGATAGATAGACTGGGGAGGAAAGAAGAGTTATTGGAGAAGATATGGGTCCAGGAACCTGGAAGTTTTGCAGCGATAACATATTTAAATGAGATGCAAAGTACTATAGAGAAGTTCCCTTGATTAACAAATGGAAATATTCTCCATAGGGTTGTACACACAGCTGGGGGAGCTGTTGGTAGGTTGTAGCATGAACTGAGAGCAGATACATGAGGTAAAATTGTTAATAAGTAGAATGCCAAGCATTCTAATACAACCTATTTTTCAGTTTTAAAATAACAATAAAAAATAGCTTTCATTCATACTTTGACCCTTTCCATGATGGCTTGTGTGTCTCAGTGTACAACATTGTGCTGGGTACTGGGGGAATGTAACACATCTAACATAGCAGGCAGTGCCAGTCAGAAGGCTCAACTTAGAAAATAAACTTGTAGTCTAGTCATGTCTTAAGCTGAGATGGAATATTCAGGTTTGCATCTATTGTTATCATCATTATTTTTTTCATAATGCAACTCCCCACTCCAACTATTAGAGAATTTACTTCTTTGGTTTCAAAGATCTATTATTATTTTTATTGGCCTATAGTGTGTTTATTTGATAACCATCTTCAAAGATGAAATTGATGGGCTTCTTTGAAGGAAATACACTGCCATTTTAGCCATACTTGTCAAGTTTTAGAGAATTATTGTGGATACACTAGTTGCTGGTATGATTTCAGGCCATCCATCAGGAAAGATGTACACAGCTAATCCACAGCAAACAAACATGGAAGCATTCTCTATTTGATTGAAGAAAACCACACCAGCTAACAAATTTGGAATTTTATCACAGATATGCAGGTCCTTGCAGTCAAAAAGTAGATGCTGTCTTCAGACTCAGCTGGTCTACTTACCTTGCAAGCACAGAAAACATTATAGTAGCTAGCTTTGATGGCAGAGGAAGTGGTTACCAAGGAGACAAAATCATGCATGCAATCTACAGAAGACTGGGAACATTTGAAGTTGAAGATCAAATCGAAGCAGCCAGGTGAGTGACTAGAAGGTGAATGCAAAGGTCATCTGATTTTTCCCCTCAATTTATATCTTCAAGTTGTAAGTGTAAAGAATTTAAAGTGTCCTAGAATTAAATTTTTAATCTTGCACCCTTGAGGTGGATTCTTAGTGATGTCTCATTAAGATGAAAATCTATGTCATTATAGATTTATATAAAGTTAGAAAAAAAGATATTCCCTAGATTCCTGTCTGTATGAGATTCTGAAAGGGAGTTTATATATGTTCTACCATGTACAAGGAACAGAGACTTGAAGTTTGTCAAACTCATGGACAAACTGAAGGATCTATGTACCCCTTAGTAAACATCTCACCAAACAAACAGTCTCAAGGATAAGGAGTTCACTGTGCATTTACATTGTGGGAGGGTGATAGCTATGAAATTCTAGGAGTAATCTGGAGGAGAGTTACTTCTCCATTTGGGGAAAATTGAAGAGTAAAACCCTCAGACCTTCATGGCTTACAATTACAAGGGATTCATTATGTATGAATCACAGCTCATTTTTGTGTTTTCCAATTATGAGACTAATAAGAGATGTGATCCTATTTAAGAAAGCTTTTGGTTATTCAGTAATGCATATGGAATGTGAGAAATGTTTTGTCTGCATTGTATTTGAAATGGCACAATCACCTTGGTAATTGGGGCTTTCTATCCCGTATTTTAGGTATAGAAACAGAGGTTCTAATTAATTTTCCAAAGTAAGTCAGGATTTGGATTTAGCTCTCACTTCAGCTCTTACGTTCAATTGGTAAATAGGTATTGTAATCTTAAGTTTCTATGACTAACTGTGGATGTCTAGGGAAACACAGCACTAGGGGATTTAAAATGCTGTGAAATCATAAACTAGGAAAATCAGAAAAGCTGTGAATTAATAAGTGGAAGAAATATCTTTAAAAGAAGGAACAATTGAAGGGAGGATGACAATATATTGAATATCCCTGAGTTTCACACACCAACACTAATGGTTAGAGAAAAGAGAACAAATTTATTCAACTCTGTGATTTTTAAAAGATTTATTTATTTATGCATGCAAGAACTGGGGGACAGGCCAGAGGTGTGGGGGCATGAGAGGATTCACCAATGGGAAGCAGAACAGGAAGATTGACCAAAATATACTGCTAAGGAGAGCATTAGGTGGGACAGAGGAGGTCTGCTGTACCATGTGGGTAGCTCTCTGGCTGGGGATCAGACTCATGGGTCAGTGGCTACCAATAGCTCCATAGGGTTGTGCATCAAACCCTATGCCATTAGGGAGGGCCCTGTGATATTTTTAAAATAAAATTTTATTCACCAATATTGGTTTGCTGAGAGGGGACATAGTTTTCAGGGCCTTTCAGATTAACTGACTCAAAGCCTAAATTTACAGAATTGAGTACACTATATAAGTACAGTTTAGAAAGTAATGAGATGTGTGATGCATTTATACAATGAGATACTATTTCAGCAACTAGAAAGAACTGTACACAATAACATAAATAAAGCTCACAGCCTGTTAAGGATGGCATGCACATACGAGTACATCGCATATTACCTAATGTATATAAGCTCCAAACCAGGGAAAGGTAAAATTTTTCTGAAACCGAAAGACATCATGATTTTCCGTTTTCCAAGGGAGAAGTGACCCAGATGCTTCTGAGTGATAGTAATGTGCTACATCTTGCTTCCAGGTTATGCACACTTTGTAAAAATTAATCAGCTCCGTTCAAACATGAGTGCATGTTTTGTACTTATCTATTGTAAGCTTACAAAATAATATGGAGAACCTAATGAAGTTGAAAACTACTTTTGAACTGAAACATTTTGAATGTTTTTAAATATCGCTTAACTCAGCCTAAGACACATCTACTGTAAACAAAAAGATTCTCAAAGTCACAAATATGAGAACCCAATGCAAGGGTTCTCCATGTTCTTAAATAGTACAAAATTGAATCCCATTTGTTACATTTTATTTTTAAAAAAGTACATTGCCTTTTGACATAAAACTGATATTAAGAAATAGGTGAGGCCCTCGCTGGTGGCTCAGCAGGTTAAAGCGCTGCACTAAGAAGCTGAAACCACTTCCGCATGAGTTCGATTCCCGCCTGCCCTGGAGGTGACCACATGGTGTGGCAGACCTCTCCTGACCCGCCCGCTGCTCCCCTCAGCAGTGTACTTCGTCAATCTGCCTGTTCTGCTCCCCACTCTGTCTCTGGTGAAGTCTTCGCCACCCCTGAGTCTCTGGCCTGTACCCCAGTTCTGTATGCACAAATAAATAAATCTTTAAAAAAAAAAAAAAAGAAATAGGTGAGTACATTTTTCTGATTTCTTTATCTGGATTCCTATACTGAGTACAATTCATTGACAAAAAGACTTCTTAATCAATCAATGAAAAGTTATTTCCTATTGAATTGTGCTGAGATAAATAATTAATACCCTGCATAAGAAGGGATTTATGTAGAGAATGATGTTTAAGTTCTCAAGTCAGGGACTAGGGACACTTCTAAGTCTCCCCAGATGTTTTCTATGCCCCTTTAATTCTCCAGTGCAGGAGCAGCCTCTCTCAAACTGGAAAACATCTGGAGAGATTTAAATTCAATTATGTAAAGAAAAGTGCATCTGGGCTGCAAATTTTTATATAAAGCTGTGAAAAAAACTGCCAGGATTTGTTTTCTGTGAATCATACACACACACACACACACACACACACACACACACACACATACACACACAGGCACACAAACACACACTTTATGGACTTCAACAAAAGTAAACTTTGTTCATCTGGCTCTTAAGTTAAAGATGATAGACATCACTCAGAGGTTTATTTGATTTTTGGCAGTAATCTTAGTTTCTAATAGAGTGCAATAGAGAACAAATAATGGTGCTTTACAATTGGGAAGTTATCTTAATTTTCTATACACAGCATATACTCATTTATGGATATTGTCTGTCTGTTTTAGGCAATTTTCAAAGATGGGATTTGTGGACAATAAACGAATTGCAATTTGGGGCTGGGTGAGTAGTTGATGAGTCCACTCGCTTTCCTTAGTGCATGTGACCCAGAGCAGGCTGATTTCACTTTTGTATATAAATATTTGGAGCTGAAAATCTCACCTACTATTTAAGCTAAGAAGTTCAAAATGAAAGAAGGGGCAATGATGAGCCCCTACTAGCCAGGCTTACACTTTTATTAGGATTGGGGGGGGTGAGAATGTGAGGAAGGGAAGTGAAGTGGAAAGTTGAGATAAAGGATAAAGGAGGGGATGGATACTTTTCAGAAAGCAGTCAGTAATAATTTGCTGTTTATTGTTGTATTTTCTTTAATTGTTACTACTCAGAAAATTTTCGATGCTTCCCTCCTTACAACTACCAAGAAAAAGGACGAGGACTCTGAAAGCGCAGTCTTTAGATACTGTCCAATTAAGGCCAATTTAAGCCTCCTCTATCATGCTTTCTCTAAAGAGGCACAGTATATAAAGATGTGAGAAATGCGACTCGCTTACCATATGTCCTTAATTCCTTTACCTCCGTAAAAATAACTGTTTCCATTTCTTAGTCATATGGCGGGTACGTAACCTCAATGGTCCTGGGAGCAGGAAGTGGCGTGTTCAAGTGTGGAATCGCCGTGGCGCCCGTGTCTCGGTGGGAGTACTATGGTATGTAACTGTGTAACTGTGGCAGGTACAGGGTTGCTGAATGGTTGACGTGAAAGTTCCAGTGACAGCACCACTTATTTAAAAAGATTTGTTTTCTAGAACTGGAGTACAAGCCAGAGGTGTGGTGAGTGAGAGAATTCACCAGAGACGGAGTGGGGAGCAGAACAGGCAGATTGCCAAAATGCACTGCTGAGGGGAGCAGCGGGCGGGTCAGGAGAGGTCTGCCACACCATGTGGGTCACCTCCAGGGTTGGTGATCAAACACATGCTGCAGTGGCTTGTAAGAGCTTCATAGTGCCGTATTTTAACCTGTTGTGCCACCAGGGAGAGCCCTCTTTACATATATATATATGTATATGTGTGTGTGTGTGTGTGTGTGTGTGTGTATGTGTTTCTAGAGCAAATAAGCTGGTTCATGATAGAGGTATTTATAATAAAAAGATTTCATTTACTCTGCCATTGTGAAAGGATGGGTGGTGGTGTATGTTATCTGCACGTTTGGTTTTCAACAAGTTCTATTTTCCAAATTTCAAAGCATCCCCAGTGCCCTCTGCCTGCTTCCTTGCGGGGGACCTTGACCAGCAAGGCCTGAGAGTCGGGGGCCCCAGGTCCTGCGAACAAAAGAATCAGTCATGCGCGTGTAGCAGAACAAAGAAAAGAAGAAGTCTTTATTGGGTTTTTACCTCAGCTTATATACAATACAAGAGGAGGGGGATGCAGAAGTCGGGAAGGGAGAAGGCCAATAGACATGCAGCATGTTTTGGTGGCAGTTGATCTCGTGAGGGGCCAGGGAGAGAAAAGAAAGAGGAAAAGGAAAAGGTGGGGGCAGGGAGCTCTTCCCACATGCCTTTTGCAACCTGGATGTTTTTCTCTATCCGGACTCCATTTCACCTTTTTATGGCGCAAGATGCTGACAGACGCAAGATGCGGCCTCAGTCCCCCAATTCCCTTTCTTTCAGGGCTTTGGGTGTAAAGTGGAGATTAGGTGCTGGGGAAGTTATTTTGTCCTTATGTCTCTAAGTGGGTGAAAACTACTCTAGAATGCCCTGTTCATATCTGAGAACACATTATTCTCAGAGAAAGAATAATAAGACCATCATTCCAGAGGGAATGGGAGTATACATCACTGGTAAGAGAGAAGAGGCAGAGATGTTGACTTGATTGTCCTACACCTCTTCTAACTGCCTCTGAAGTCCTTTATATAGTAGAAAGATGGAATATTGATAATAAATGTGCTCATTAAATATTTTATATCCTAACATGTGGTAGTATCAATTTTCTGGAAAACCTTTAATTTTCTAGGTCAAGATAAGCTAATGAAAAAAAAATTGCTACCTTTCTGTAAAAAAAAAAAAATTAGAAAACACTGTTACAATTTGTTCTGTACACAGTGGATTTGTTTTCATGTAATGACTTTTAACCTTATATTATTTATTCTTTTGGAGGACTTGTTTTTGGAGACCTCTGGTGGTCACTAAAATAATAGAAACACTCCTGAGTTTAGAACTCTGTCATCATAAGCATACTTCATTAAATGTATATGGACCAACTTAACAAATTAGAACCTATAGAATTCTTATATATGAGATAGAAGAAATATGTAAGTCATATTTTAAGATGTCTTTCTAAACATTTACAGTAATTATGCATTTTTAAAATGCTAGTTTAAATTTTTCAGATCTTCTTATACATATAAAGCTTGTTAATATAATAAAAGACAAGAAGATTTGAATTCTGTGCCTTCAGATTTTTCCCTTATCAAATATACAACCTCTTACTTATATGTATTTAGATGTTAAAATAGTTGAGTATTTTATGAAGATCTTACATTTTAAAGTGTCCCTTAATGTGTTATCTTTTTAGTGTCCTCTAGATGTGTGTAATTACATAGAGGCTACATTCATTTTAACAAAAATTGTAAAATATTGCTACAGCTCATTTTGAGAAAACTATTTTGGTATCTATATAAGTGGCATGAAGACTACCTGTGAAACAAGTAGCACTCATTAACAGTGTTCTTATTTTATAATGCCAGTCATTCAGAAAAGGTTAGGGTGTTGCTTAAGGTAGTTGTTTAGCTTATATATTCGTTTAAAGAATTAATGAGATCGGTATTGAGGTATCTGTACAATTACAGTGAATTTTAAGCCATTAACTTATATATCACAATGACAACCTATTGTTCTTACACTTACGAATTTACTGTAATCTGGTCACATAAGGGGGCATCTTTCAAAACAGTTACTGCAGATTTTTAAAGTGATCATGGAATTTGTCACAGCAAATTTTTCTCACTTAATATTTTAGGGTGTGTGTGTGTGTATGTGTGTGTAATGTATGATTTAGTCTTTTCAAAATAGGGCAAAAATATGTTTAATTATCCAAAATAACCAAATCAATTATGCAAACTGTTTTTCTGCCATATTTATAGATAAAGGAGCTTATGTCATTTCAGCAGACAGATATTAATGTAATCTGTTTAAAAATACTCAACTACTATAACTCCAAAATCGAGACTTCACTGAAATGAGAGAAAACTAATGCTTACCCTGCATTAGGATGGAATAGCTGAGCTGATGTGAGGATAGACACAAGTAAATGATAACTGTTTTTTCTCATCATAATCAATTTCCACGTGCCAGAAAAATAAAATGTGATTTAACTAATAAATTAGTAATTGAATATTACGAGTAAGGAAATCACATGTTTGGGCATATACTTGCTCAGGACCAAAATATTCAAGACAACTGAAGTATTACGTGACTTCCTGATTAAGATTCTTTCGGAGTCAGATGATAGTATAAAGTGTCCAAACCTCTAAGCACTTTGCATTTCACTTTTCTGCTGGCAATTACTGAGCAGGGTTTAGAGCGTCCTGTTTGATCTTTCTTTGCCTTCATCGTGAGGGCCTAGAGAGCATGGTTAGGACTGACTAGGAAAAGGCCTCCGAGCAGTTTCTGCCTGTTGTAGCCAGCTGAATAAAATGACCTGAGGAGGTATTTTGGAGGGTAACACTAAGACTCACCCAAGTACAGAAAATAGTCCAGTGAAAGGAGGAAGCATTTTCCACTGTATGAATTAAGTTTTTTTCTTTCTTTCCATCACAGACTCAGTGTACACAGAACGTTATATGAGTCTCCCAAAAGACAACCTCCATTATTACAAGGTAAGAGAGAAGGAGCGAGATACATTTTATAACCTATTTGTAAGTGGCTTAAGCACATTTGAAAGTGCATCTATTCTGGAAATTATATATTTTTTATTTGCAACAAAATTCTTGTTTAAAAAAAATAACACAGGTGGTTTAGAGAAACTCCAATAGCTTCCCCTACTATATTCTGCATAATTACAGCCTTTATCGTATGCTATATAGGTCACAATATGCATTCATTTGGAAATACAAAGCAACACCAGATAATTACTTTAATTATAAAAATTTCCGTTTAGAAAACATGTCAAATTCAACATATTCTTTTAGACCCCAAAAGACTAAACGTTTAGCTACATATTAAAATTTCTTGTGGTATTATCATAATTAAGATGGCTGAACAAGCCTTAACATTTTCTTATTCATAGTCAAGTATGGGCAGTTGTTACAAATAGGATTTGAGTAAAGCAGGTGAGGAGCAGATATACTTGGAAAGTACCCTGAAAAATCCTTGAACCCACATTGCTGAATAGCATCCAGCACACTGGTCGATCTAGTGGGACGAGTGGGTGGACTGCTCTACAGATGGGTCACAGCATTTGAAATCTGGTCTGGGTGTGGCGGCCCCATGTGTTATGGTGGGTGCCACCCCAAAGGCAGAGCACGTTCTTTGGTTCCAGGCTATTGCAGCTAGAAGTGCTAGCCTAGGTTCTAAGGATCTTTCTAGCACATTAGACCATCCAAAAAGTTCCTGATTTTGTCATACAAAGTAAAATACACAAAATTTACAAATAATAAGGTACAGCTTCCAATGCACAGGCTTCATACTAAGACATTGTTCTGAGCAATATTTGTATGTTTTTCTAAGATTACTATGGATTCTGGGGCCATTTCATCCAAACACAATGAAACGCCATTGATATATCTAATTTTGCAATATAAGTATAGAGAATTCAGTTTTGTCTCTCAGTTTTATTTAGAAGGTGTGGGAGGAATGGGGTATGTGTCTGTTTGTGCCTGCTTCTGTGTTTTCATCACTGTTCTTCAGTCTAGATAGAAAAGCAATAATCTGTAGAGTGAGAGGCAAAACCATTTCCCACTACAAGGGGGTCCTGCGGTCAGGGTGTCATCAGTTCAGCTGAGAATAGTTTGGACTCAGATTTTCCCACTCTTTCTCCTCTACCTTGAATAGCACCTTTAAACATTATTTCCTTTCTTCATAGCCACATCACTGCATGACTGGATCCTTTATTCATAAGATCCAATTTGTACCCCCCCTTAGCTTGTCCAGGTTAGACCACAGAGTAGCGAGATGAGTGTCCTACCCACCACACTTCTCCGAGGTCTCTCCTGAGTGCTTAACTAAGTACACCTGCAATGTTCTCTCTTTAAATATTTCTGGACCTTTTCCTTTTGTGCTTTTGCTTATGTTTTTTCTGCCTGGGATCTCATTTCCATCTTATTTTCCTGTAGTCCACCTTCCTGTCTTGGGAAGTATGTAATGCTCTCCCAGTGAAATCTCTCTCCCTTTTGACTTCTGTGGCATTTCCAATGTGTATCTCTTAATCCTTAGTTTATCCATCTTGCGCCTATAGTATATCCTCCCTTCCCCCTCTGCAGCAGAAAGAACTGCTCAAGACTTTATTCAACACTGTATTCTTTGGATTACCCAGTATGAACTAATTAAAATCTTTCCTGTTTGACATCACAATTTTTTGAAGGGAAACATTTCTATGAAAATGGTAGGCCCCCATCACTTCCTTCATTTCACAACTTGAATTTCCCTGGCAATCACTTGACCAGGATGTTTACATTGGAAAGCCATCCTTCCTATGCTATGCCATATTTGCTGAATTGCCAAAGAATTTTCTCTATATCCCAAAGTATTAAAAACTTTCAACACATCAAAGGTATTTGAGAACCCTCCTGTCCTGGACCCTTATCCCGACTTTAGAACCTGGTAGATGATGAGTCAACTGTTTATATATATATTTTTAAGATTTATTTATTTGTGCATGCAGAATTGGGGTATAGGCCAGAGGTGCAGGAGCGGTGAGAGGATTCACCAGAGACAGAGCGGGGAGCAGTACAGGCCGACTAACGAAATACTCTGCTGAGGGGGCAGCGGGCAGTTCAGGAGAGATCTCCCTCACCACGTGGATCACCTCTGTGGCGGGGATTGAACTCATGCTGAAGTGGCTTTAGCTTCTTAGCGCTGTTAACTCGCTACACCATCACGGAGGACCTGTCAAACGTTTATTTTAAAAAGCACATTTTGAAAAGCATCTGAACCTAGAAGCACAGAGTCATGTCCAGACCCTGAGATCTAAGGCAGACCCTGGCTCCTACTCAGCTTCCCCAGGTCTCAGCTCATTTTCTCTTCAACTGGCCCTACTGCTAGAGGAGAATTGGTTTGAATCTGCCATTGCAACCCACAGCTTGTTCCAGCTTTCCCATAGGCTCCTCATTCCTAACCTGTCCCCATCTACCCCCCACTCCGCGGCCATTGTCTTCTCTCCCCTTAGGTGTTCTCTGCGTGAGGTAGTCATGTAAATAGAAGTCACTTCCTACTGCCAATGGCAACACACACAGGCTGGGTGCACAAAGTCACTCTTTCACTTCACTGCACAGATGGCTCCCGAGGACTGTTTAATCCTTCCACGCCAGGAGTCGGGTTTTCTTGGCACAAAATTCATTGCTGGCAATGGACACATTAAAACTGCCAGTACCAGAGAGCTAAAGGTTCCCAATGTGTTACTCAGTGGAATTATTTGGGCGGGTGATAGCTAAGGTGGGCAGGAGAAAGGGAGGCAAGTATATTATCTGAATTGTTTCCACCCTGGTAAGTTGCATCTTCCAAATGTGGAGAACTGAATCTAAGTGCCTATATTTGGTGCACAGCAGGCTTTAGAATAAAGCTGCCCTCCTTTGTTTTTTAAATGAGCCTGCGCTTTTGTCTCTGGCAAGAATACATTCAAAGATTCTATTTTCCTCCAAGGCCCCAGCTGCCCCTCTGGACCCCATCTTCTTTTACTTTTCTTTCCCAGGTTGGTTTTATTACTCATTCTCTCATATTCATATTCTCTCTCACTCCCTCTCTTCCTCTCCCACCTCTCTTTATCCCTCTCTCCCTCCCTCTTCTCACCCATTTTGAAAAGACAAAGAAGAGACTTCTTTAGAGATGTTCACCTTCCTGTGTATGTTCATGGGTCAGAAGAAAATAATTTTAAAATCACTCACATTTAGTCTGGACAAATTGCCCTCTGCAGGACATCCAGGATAGAGATGTCCACAGTGTGTAGTAGCAACACCATGAGTGCTGTCGAGGTTTTCTGCTGAAGAATTATTGATACAGCAGTTAGTATTATAGCCTTTGGACACTAACATCGTTTTTCATAAAGCTCAAATGAGAAAAGGCTTTGTTATTAGGTTATAGATGATCCAGATTGGGAAAAATTAAGAGAAACCCATGTCACCAGCAGAAGCACATTTTGTGAAATAAAGCTCATACTTAGCCACTAAGAGGAAAGGAAATAAAAGCACTGTTTGTTTACATTAATGGAACAGACAGGCATGCATGTACAGTTGTTCAGCTTGTGCCCTGCTGGATGTTAGTCTCCACTCCAGTCCCTGAGCCTTGCCTTTCTGTGGCTGTATCCCCAGAGAGTAGGGCCCGAGACTAAGGCTTAGACCCAACGCGGTGACACAAGACGTGATTCCTTATCTTTTTGTGGATAATCACCCACCCACTGCCAAATGGTACAGCAAGAGCATGCTTAAAGGATACCAGGAACTCAAAGAGAATGGAAGATGATCATCTCTCAAAACTAATTAACTGATCCTAGACGGATCCCCTTAGGATCTTTGCCTTCATAGGGAAAGCAGTGTGCTGGGTGACAAGTCAGAGCCCATTGGTGGCATTACTCTGAGGAAACATCTTTTCTGCAGTGAGTCTCAGTCTACATGAGACAGATTGGCGCAAAGGAGTCGGGTGGCCTATGAGAGAGCCTCCGACCCCCAGTAAAAGGAAGCAAGTAGGGTTGCCACACCCCTGACGAGGGGGTTGCTGACCAACAATGACCAAGAGTCTCTCATGTGGTCACTCATGGGCCAAAATTAGGAAATATTAGCATGTGGCAAATTTTTACCCACCCATTCGAAGTGCCTGGTGTTTTAATTGTTTAGAACTTGATTAGCTTATTAACTGAGACAGAACATGCCCAGGAGATTTTTTGGAATGAAATAAGAGCATAGATAATAACGTATGAGCTTAGCTATGATAAAGAACTCAGTGTGTATAGAAAAGACAAATGGTTTCCATACCATAGGTCCCCAAGAGTTCTATCCTTTTGTGCATTCCTGAAGAGGGAAAAGGGGATAGCCAAGAAGTTAGGGTTCACCTTCCCCATACTCCTCTCGACTGGAATGGGGATCATTTCATTTCTTTTCACTCATTTATCAAGTGCTTGCTACTCTGGCCAGACATGCGTCCAAGCTCTTTACATGAATTATTAGGTTCAGTTCTCCCTAAAATCCTCTGAGATAAGTGCTCTAATTGTCTGCATTTTCCTGGCACAGAAACTGGGGCCCATAATGTTATGTAACATATAGCTATGGAGCACTAGGAAGGCATTTATCTGAAGTCAAGGTAGAAGGACTGAGGACGATGGGGGGAGAGGGGGGGAGAGTGGGTGTTTCCAGAGGCAGCACAGAGGGAGAAGGCAGAGTGTCACCAAATAGATAAATGAATGGCAGGTAGAGCTGGCTTTCTGGGGATTTGTGAAGCAGGTTGGATGAACCTAGAGATAGCATGGAGGAATGGCTGTGGGCAGAGCAGGCCAAATGGTGGCCGATAAGGCAGGACATAAGCCTGGGAGGGAGTGGACTTAGGAACACAGAGAAGTGTAAGATCAAGGGCAAGAGAAATGGGACCCAAGTCCCAAGCCTGTTGCCAAGAGAAGAGGGCAGCCTGGAACACACAGAAGGGACTGATTTAACTTGTAGAGGAGATTTATTTTGCATTTTGCTCAAAATTTGATAGGCTTTTGGCAAGTGTATGAAACAGTCATAGATTTGGCAGTCTTCTGCTAGCAGATTTGAAATGTTCAATCCTTAAGAACTGCTGCATCGTTAGGTTATGCAAAACAGGGTGCAATTTTGTAAATATGCCATCTTGTACTGATTTGACATTTGTTCTATTATCCCAGAATATGCCAAAGGGAGAGAGACCTTCAGATTTAAGCCAAACCTTAACTTGTTTGTTGAGTGCTGATAAAATGTTGACTGCTGTGTGATCTTTAAAGAAGCCAGTGTTGCTTGGTGAGGCCTGAGGTAGAGCCCCCTGTCGGGTTGATGGGTGCTCTTTCCTTGGCATCTTATGGGTACAGTTGTGTGATAGATGTAAACAAGTAAAACATCTGATAAAGTGGATTGAATTCATTTTTCTTAAATACTCATTCATTTTTCTTAAATATTTTCGGTGGCCTCTGTTGTGGCATCAGCGGTGCTTCCCCCCCCAATAACATCATCCAGTATCACAAATGAGGCTTTGGTTGCAAGTAGGAGAATGCATGGAGCAAGTCAATACACTGAGGTGACACCTCACTGCAGCACAGAGGCCATTCGATTGCAGCCTTGCGCTCTTTTGTCAAGAGCTGGGACAAGGTGATGAGTTGTCTGACTGTGAAGTGGAGGTGTCCTGGAATATGATGGAAGGGGAATGGGCTTTAGACTTCAGTAGTCATACATTCAAATTCTGTTGCCACCACTCACTTGTAGAGGTGACTGAACCTCTCTGAACTTTAGTTTCCTGATCTGGATAATTGGGGTAGTCAGACTTACCACAGAGTTATTGAAAAGGTTCAAGAGAGACCTACGAGTAAGCTTTCAGAACATGGCAGCTGCCACCATTATCCTGAGGGAGCCAGTTGTCCTTCTGCCTTCTAGATAGCTCAATGGGTAGCTTAAAAATTGTGAGACCTTCTGTTTCCCACCGTCCTTTCCTACTCTTATCAACCCTCTCTTTTATTTCAAAAATACAAAGATTTATTTGTTGGAAGGTAACTGAGGAATCAGCATGATCCAACGAGCAGCTACAGATGGTTCTCCTTGGGGCTTGAAGGAAAAGCTCCTCACATAGATGCTGTGGAATCGGCACTGCCACTGGACCAATCCTTCCCACTTCTCCTTGCCAGACTGTTGCTGGCAGCGGGGCTCTCCGGAAGTTTCTAGCCTCAGGAGAGTGCCAACTGCACCACCATTGCATCTTTGCCCATTTATCACTCTGAGCTTCCTTTTTAGTAGTTGGTGATAGACTATTTGGCTTCTAACTTAGTCATCCATTTCCTTTTTTATTTCTGTTTCCATCGATAGGCAAACGGGGATTATCCTATTTTGGTAGGTTAAAACATCCCAGCTAATTTACTTCTGATGATTAATCATCCCTTCCATTAGCACACACGTTTCTGTGTCTCCTGCAGGTTGGCGTGCACTGTCCATTCTCGACTGAGCAGCTCAGGATGCTCAGTCTGTAGGGACTGTCGGTGGTTCCAGAGCCAGGGTGCCACAGCTGTATTTTTCTGGGGGGAAAAATTCCTGTGCAGCCTGAGAGGCTGCTGTGGGTGTGCTCCGGGCTGCTGTCTCCCTGCAGGCTTCTCCTAGGGAGCAGGGGGAACCGTGCATGGGAAACAGCACACACATCTTGCAGTTGCAGGGGAAGCTTTTGTTTTATTTTTCTCTTGCTGCATTAAAGTATTTGTCTTTCTTTCTTTGTAGTGTAATATTGTTAATGTAAAACAATTTGCATCATGACACTTTTATCACAGTTTTCGTCTTTTTCTCAGTATGTTGCATTTCTCACCATGTCTAGTTCATCACAGCTACAGTGTGTACATCACAACATTTATCTTAGGCTCAGGGTTTTACTTGTTTATAAAAATTGTCTTCTTTCAGCCTGTATTCACTCCATTTAAGAAAAAAAAAAAGGCAGCCAGAAACTGTTTTGGTCCAAACTCCAGTAGTTATCACATTCCTTGCTAACTGTCCTGCGTATTTATATGCCTCCTAACTATTACTCTATGTTTCAATGACATTTCTCAGTTTTATGGCTCAGGGAGGTTGTAGGAACAGCTTTTGCTCTTCCTGTTGCCAAGCAGGGAAGGCCCATGAGACTTTTGGAGGTGAGCTGAGGTGACACAGCTGTATTTGGGGGCCAACCTTCGCTGTTAAAGTTGACTGTCTACCTTGAGCAATGATCTGGATTTAATGTGAGGAGACAGTTGTTGGGGGAAGAGCAGTGTGGTCAGTAAGCTGTGCGCAGGGCCAGTGGGAAGGACCAGCAAGAGCACTGGGGCCGGGCATCTGGGCCTCGGACCCAGCTTCATTGGCAGTGTCCAAGCCCCAGGCTGGTCTCTCTGCAGCGGAGAATTGACACTGTTCTGTAGGGAGTTTGTTGATGCTTTCCCTTTGAAGAGCAGGAAAATGCTCAGGGTTCTACTGCTGCCCTGCCTCCCTGTTCTCACTGGGCTGTGCAGGCCTGAGAGGGCTTGGAGATGCAGGAGCCAAGTTCCAGTTGCTACCTGCAATTCCAGGCAGGTAGCAACTGGTTTCTCCTGCTTTTTATTGGAAACCCACTTCGTGAGCAACATAGGATGTAGAAGGAGGTTCTGCCATTAGACTTTGTCCCTCTGACTTCACGTTACCTACACACATCAGCAGGTGCACATTACCCACTTCTGAGTTCGGTATCTCCATGTAAAAAATTATCTAGATGTGAATCTGCTCACAGGAGTGTTGTGATGAATAATGAGCCATGTGTATAACTCCTTTAGATGCTTGAACAGTCCATAGAGGAAACCATTCAATAAATGATAGCTTGTATTATTAATGGCATGGTGTAAAGCTCGAAATGAACAAAAACACAATTTCAGAATGAGAATATTTTGTTAGTAGTTTCTACCTGCCTCTAAAAAAACTAGGATTTAATTGAATATCTGGTAAAATACTAGTGTCTTTTCTTTCATCTTTTTATTTGATATTTAGATATCTTAGATACTAAGAATAATGAACAATACACACAAATCCCTTTTCTTGTGAATCTACTTATCTAGTGGGATGGCTGACAAATAAGTATTGGCTAGTTGAAGAAAATGAGTGACTGGAAGAATAAATGGGGTAATGTTGGGATGGATGGATGAATAGCTTGTGTGATTCATACATTGAGGGATTTATCTAGGACACTGTAGCAGATGAAATGTTCTTGTAAAATGAAAGTATGACTTCTAATGAGTCCTAGGTGTTAATTCTGAAAGTTCATAGGTTTTCAATTTAGGCCAGAAATGAGTCATGGTGAGGATGAGTGGGAACCAGACAGAACATGGGTGGGAAGTTACTGGTGCTAAGCTTTACAGGACAAGGTGACCTTGGAAGCCTCAGTCACCTAAAGCTTGTTGGGTGACCCTGTCCTGAAAGTTGTAGACAGAATGTCTTCTTTCCCCATGAAATACAATGCAGAGCTCATATTGGTATCAGCAGTTTGGCCATAAGAAAATGTCAGGACTTTTAATTTCTTTATCTGTGAGGGAGTAAAAGGTGTTATTCTTATTCTCATTTTACAGAAGAAAAGATTCAGAGAGCTTGCCCACAGGTGCACAGCTCACTCATATTGAAACTGGGACTAGGACACATATATTTTGACCTTAGCCCCAACCCTCCTGATGGAAGCCACTAGGATCTGGATTAACAAACTATACAGATCTGTAAAATAGAAACCTTAGTTCCCATAAAGTTGATTTTGATTCACCAAGATGCTGCAGGACTAATTGGCTGATTTGAAACCCATAGATGGATCACTAGTGCTTCCCCACCAACCCCATAACCAGATAATAGAGGCCAAGACTCCAGGTCACACCTCCCTCCCCCCCCCACACACACAAAGGCACTACCACATCTCTGTGACATGCTCACCTTCATTCCAACTGTATCATCATCTCCAATTAAGTCTGAAAGTCTGATGACCTGTTCTCTACTTTCAAAGACTTCTTCAGGCAAGACCTAGCCTCATTCTAGAAGTCTTACCTGACTGAGGCCACCATGCAGTCTTCAAAAAGCTGACCATGAAGTATTTTTCATCCCATTTCCCTGACTAAGTTGGAAGTGACTTGATCTAATAGCATTTTCTCCAATGCAGAATGAGGCAGACAACCACCACCCACTGATTTTCTAAGGCCACTCTTGACCTTTTCCACCCCTCTTCCCTCACATATGTCACATTTGCCTGGGTTTAAAACATCTGTTCTAAAGGAGGTAATACTGGCTTCTCATTTAGCGCCTAGCAATGTGGACCAAAGTTCATACGACATATTGCAGAGTATGTTTAGTTGCAAATGCTATGTACAGGCTCTTTGAAATGTAGCATGTATGGCACCATGTGACACATGGTTGCCATGGCAATACACTTTTTGGCTGAACTACAGCATAAGCCCATGGAACATACATTGCTAATACGAGACTCTGCCCTGTGCTAATGCATAGGACACAGCCAGCCTAGAATCTGCGGCTCAAGGGGCTTTGCGTGCAGCCTGGGTGGCAGGTGCCTCTTCCTGCATGTGCAGGGAAGATGTGGCATCCTCCCTTTCCAGTCCTGTCTCCCAGGCACAGGGCATGCTGTGCATTCTGCCATGCATGGAGACAGCATTTGCTTGAATATCGGTTTGCTATATTTTGTATCAAAGGGGGCCCCAGCTGAAAACATTTTATTTTGTAAACTGAAGTGAAAAATCAGTTTATGGCAGATCTTTTTTTGAATAATGACATTCTTTTTCCCAATTCCAGAATTCAACAGTCATGAGCAGAGCTGAAAATTTTAAACAAGTTGAGTACCTCCTTATTCATGGAACAGCAGATGGTGAGTTTCAGTTAATTAGACTTTTTAGTATCACAGACAGGTTTGCAATTTCACTACTGACAAAACAAAAGCATGAGGGGCAAGACTGTTACATTTACTTCAATAAAACAGTGTTGCTTTCCACAACTCACTTGTCTTCGGCTAAATGGGATGCTGAATCCTAGAACTTCAAACAGTCCCTTTCTTCTCCTGCCTTTCCTACCCTTTGGTATCAGAAAGCTAGAATAGCCATTAGTTATTTTATGTCTCCTTCTCTTCTGCAGATAACGTTCACTTTCAGCAGTCAGCTCAGATCTCCAAAGCCCTGGTGGATGCTGGAGTGGATTTCCAGGCAATGGTATATAGCAAATCAACAGCGGGGAGGGTGCCGGCTGGTGGGGGGCTGGTCTACCCTCTTCGGGCTACTTCTTAGAAACAGCCCAGGAGACAGGGATGGAATGAAAAGTTGTTTTTTTTTTTTTTTAAATTTTTCCAGTGTGCGGTTGGAAAAGCGCTATCCTTGAGCCACAGACAGAATAATAATGTTCAATAATATTAGAGAATTGGGGGTTGAGAAGCACAGTATTGAATATCCTGGAGTGTCAAAACACTGTTCTCCTTTTCATGTGATTGTTCAGTCTTTCCCATTTTGATACAAAAGTAATCACTTTACTCAGTGAATGTGTGGCAGAGTAATTCTAAAGTGAAACCAGCATGATAATAGCTCAGCTGAAATATGAAAATCCATTTCTGTCTTGTATGTATTACTCGCTATTCAAACGACAGTGGGATATTAGTAATCAGCACACTTCAAATTTTGCAATTTCCATATTACCTTTTGTTGAACAATCATAGGCAATAAACAATTAGGCTTGTTTTATAGTCAGAAATGGCTAGAGTTGTTGTTGCCTGTGTAGAAGGATGATTGTAGCTATTAAATCACACGTATTTTCTACACTGCACCTTTTCAGATTAAGAAATAAGCTTGCCCACACACATATACATATATTTTATGTGTACATGTCTTTTTGCACATGTATGTTGTTATACCATATACTCTTGTGTATATGTGTAATAACTTTTTATTAGCTAGAAAAGCCTAATAATAGACAGACTTTTCTCTCTCAACACACATGCCTTGCTCAAGTTCAAATGGTGCCCTCTGTATACTGTACAGGAATGGGTGAGTCATTTGATTACCAACCCCCAAAAGAAGAAACAAAAACAAAAAACCCTGGTATACATCATTTAGATCAGATTCTTCTAAAGAGAGGATGAAATTTATTTTTCTACTATTTAAAAAATGATATGATACTTTAATTAAGCAGTTTTAAAAAGTTAATGTCTTCATAATAATATTTGTCTGGCAATGCCTTCCCACTTGTTTAATGTGGTATGAGTTGATAAATTTTTGCCTCAGGTCATCAGCTCTATCTACATAAATATCAGACATGCAGATTTTTTTTAAATGCCAGTGAGAAATCTAAGTGCTAATAATACATTTGACTTTTGACTTCACTGATGTTAAACATATACAGAGTATTAAAATAAATTTTTCTGCTTTCTTAATGATGTATATTAGGTAAAATTGCTTTTAAAAAAGCTCATTTATTTTAATATCACTTATCTTAATGCAACGTAGGAAAAATTTGACACTTGATAACACTTCATTAAAACTAGTGGGCTTAATGGGATAAACATTCCTTCCTAAGCATGACGTGGTTCTCGGTGTGTTTGAGTCAAATTTGAAAGTGGATTTGAATATTTTAATTAGAATATACATTCCTAAAGCAATATGTGGTCAGGTCATATTCACAGTGAGTTCTCCAAGGACAGGATGTCTGTAGGACCAAATATGCCCTGGAAGAAGTCTGAGGGGAAATTAAATGTCTTCTTTGATCTTGTTTCAGTTTGTAAATTGATTAGGAAATTAAAGTACCCAGGCTTATATCTCATATATTGCAGAGAGCTCACAGGAATTAATAAATTGAAACAAAAAAGAGAACTGACTTCCTAATGCTGACTTTGTCCTCCCTCTCTGCAGTGGTACGCGGACGAAGACCACGGAATCGCCAGCAACACAGCTCACCAACATATATACACCCACATGAGCCACTTCATAAAGCAGTGCTTCTCCTTAGAGTAGCCCCTAGAAAAAACATGCCATTTAAAGCTTATTAAGAGCCAGTTTTGTTCTCAACTTCATAAACTGCTATAAGGATTTTTTAAAAAATACATATACTCAAATCAAGAAAGTGAAGGTTATCTTTATTTCCCGATTTCACACCTATCACCCTAAATAGGGATTTCTGTCTTAATAACAGATTATTACCTTACAGAAGCTTGATTATTCAAATTGATTTTATTATTTAAAATCACTTCCACATCAGTTGCTGACATGAGAAACAAGAAATGTTTTAAATGGGAGTTTTGCATAGGTTTCCTGGACAGCATTTAATTGTCTCCTAACGGGACTAGTCCAAATCATGTTCTCTCTTTGAAGGGATGGCAAGATATGGACAGGGATGTCAGTGACTGAAGCCGGGATATGAAAAGCCTAGTAGGGAGAGGGGCTGACGACATGGCTGATACCCTGTGTCCACACACGCCGACCCGACTAGACTATTGTCAGCTCCTCTCAGAAAAGAGCTGCTTCCAGCCAGACTGGCACCGTTTTCTAAGAAAGACTATTCCGTCTCAGGAAATCATATATGCAAAGCACTGACTTCTGAGTAAAACCACAGCAGTTGAATAGACTCCAAAGAAACGAGAAGGAAACCGTCAACAATGCAAGGCCCCCAGGTGCCAGTGATGGCCATAGGTGCTACAGAAATACAGCAAGGGTGACGGGAAAGCACTGTAAATGTGCTTTGAAAAATACTGATGTTTCCTGGGGAAAGAGGCAGCTTGGAACAGAGATGCGAACACATCAGCTTGCCCTGTTCAAAGATGAAAATATTTGTATCACAAATCCTAACTTGAAGGATTCCTTGCATCAGTTTTTCTTATTTCATTTCCTTGAGTATCTTAATTAAAAGGATATTTTGACTCCCTTGAAATTGTTTTTAAAATTGAAAATAAGTTAGAATTTTATGTATTGTTTTCATTTTACATGCTGTGCAATTTCTTCTGGTCATTTAATAAATATGCCTTTTTTTTTTTTTTTTCAGAGATAATGTGTTTTGTGTCTTGATTCAGACCTAAACCACACTGGCATATGGATGCATTTATCCAGAAAGTCTCTTGTTTATTTTGTTTTTTATCCCAGACTGCCTTGTAAACATGGAAAGAGTTCAGTTTTTGAAAGAAATTAGATACTTAGAAATGTGTTAAATTAAGCATTTCTTAGGGGTTTGTCTAATTCATATACAAATGTTGTTATTCTACATCACCTTTTAAAAAATCAACTTAAATTAATTTTGGTTATTTAAAGTACACAATTTATAATTTTATTCCAAGAATTGTGATGAAGCTCATATTAGAAGAACAAGTATTATCAGCCATATCGTTGCTAGCTCTGATGGCTAAACAAAATATTTAAATCAGTCACTTCTTAAGTATTTGACTATTTTGGTTAATATATTTCAGATGTTGACTTTACCCTAGCAATATAATGACCAGAAAACTGAAAAAACATAATTTTTTGTAATATTTATAAATTAACCTTATATTTTAAAAACTGATTTTATGAACTTTAGCTTCAACTTCAGACCATTTTATAGAAAAAGTTATCCCAGAGTGAGCCACAGCATAGAAATCTAAAAATGGAAGAAATGGAGAATAGCTGCCATTCAACATGAGACTGTGAGTCACACATAGGAATGGACAGAGGATTATGAAATTCAGTGTCAACTTTATTTTCAGAGTATGTCATCAAGCAGTTTCACCTTAATTAAGTCTCAAATCCTGTTCATCCATTGGAACTATAAACCAATGTTAAAACTCCTAAGGCTCTTGCCACAATTCTATTTTAATATATTGAGTAGCTGGAGCAAACTTTGCAGAGTTCTACATCCAGAAACAATAGCCATATATCAAATGTTCAAATACTGGGTTGAATTAATAGTTGAAAAACAAATTATATGCAAGTTCTCCTTTTATCTTCATTGAAACCAAGTATCACACAATATCAGACACTGAACAGATAAGAAGGCCATTCTTCTACAATAGTTGCTATTAGGATCATTGTATAATATTTTATATTGAATAGTATCACTCAATATTACATAATATCAAAATTATATGAATTCATTGTCCCTTTAGTTTCTCACATGCTAAATCTTCTCATTACCAAGATGTAATAAAAGCTCCCAGCCATGTATTTTTTTGCATAATGAAGGGTTGCAAATGGTAAAGACATGATTGAAATTAAGGTATATTTCATTTGACTCTTATAGGATAAACTGTACTCTCCAACAAGGACTCAAAATTAGTTTACTGGAAAAGAAGATAAAGACATTGATGAATAAACTAGAGACAAACTTAATCTGAGAGTGAGTTTGAAGCACTCTGGAATTTATCACACTGCTAAGATGTGAGAACTCCTCTGCCACTGACAGCTGCAGGCTGAGCAGACACACAGAAGCAGAGTCCTTTATAATACACACCAGTGGCTGGGAGTACACTACCATACAGCAAGGAAGCAAGAAAAATTCCTGTTACTTGGATTGCTTACCTTTTAAGTCTTGACCAAGATTTTTACAAAAACACAAAGTTTTAATTTTGAACATTTTTGTTGCAAACCCTCTTAAAAGTGATCACATACCCCTAGGCGAGGCACCCAGTCAGTGCATCCTTGATGAATCAAGGCCATCACCAGAAAGATCAATAGTCACCTCAGGCTGTTTGTCATTCTGGGTATTTCCTTTCTTATTCACAGGTGGTCACTGAGGTTCTGAAAACCTCTTTTGCAAACACCTTGAATGATCTGTAGTATGTATGGAGGATATCTGACCATTACAGATAGTTAATAACAGATGAAATGTGAGTAATCAAGAATAACATCACTACCCAATTGAAAAAGTTCAGAACATACTGAAGCCAATTAATAAGACTAAAGCCATACTCAGCATGTCATGCATGTCACCTTGCTGTGAAATGTTAACACTTAGACTCAGTAATCTGAACTATTAATAATATGCATTGTTTTCTTATTGCTAATTGAGAAGGGTAACTTTTCTGGTGCTTAAATTTGTATCTTCAACAAACTCTTTTTTCTTTATGTCATTTTTCATTAAAATTATCAATCCAAAATTGTCAGCCTATTTAAGACATGTGTGGAAAGAAGTATGAGCCATCAAATAATCAAAGCTCAAATGATTCCATGAATTTTTGCCCATTAAAATCATGGTATTTGTAACTCATGAACAAAAAAAAAAAAAGGTATTTTATTGGGTAAGTCTGGCTTTCAATGTTAAATCACAGAAAGATGAGTGACCAAGAAAAAATAAACAATTTAGACAAAATATTATTTATCTTCATTTGATTCTGGTTGCATTCTGATTCTGGCTGACTTTGTGTGCAAATGATTACCCTTAAGGAAACAGAAGTCATACCTGGCCTCCTCATGGAGACACAGTGCCCTCCAGGAAGGTCAGATGGACATAAGTTAAGAGTCTAAATCCCACCACTCAGGGAGAAATGCTTTAAAGAGTGTTACTTAGCTCTTTGAAACCCAGTTTCTTAACTTGAAAGAAGTGCAAAAATATCTACTTCACAGAATTGTTGCACTGCTGTGAAGATTTATATATACATTGCCTGGCACCTCCTATTCACAACTATTTAGCTCTTTTTCTGGCTTGATGACTTTATCCATTGCACAGGTTCTCACCTCAGGCTTCTATGTCTCCAGGTACTGGGCACATCAAGATGTTCAACATACATTGGCCTTTGTTCCAATATTTTCATGTCAGTGAGAAACCTTTTTGGATCTTTAATCATTCTTAATTAACTGAGCAGCAACATTTTCCAGTATATTGTACCTAGGATTCAGACCACAGCCTTGCTGGCTAGATAAAAAGAAGAGAACAGAACCAGACTATGGAGAGCTACAAGTGAGGGGTAAATACTATCCCTACATTTAAGAACTTAGAAAAATGGACCAAATATGTCACATGGCAAAAATCCATACTTTTCACATACCAAAGGTAAGAGCACCTTGATACAAAGCTAAATCCCTGGTAAGAATGAATGAGCTGGACAAGATGAAAAAGTAGACAGGGAGAAGGTAGTTTCTGACCTGGGTGATTCAGCCGTTAGCTGAATCATCTGGATTTACTTAATAGTCTCAAGTTTACTACTGATATCCTGTTCTTTAGTGCATTTTTTTTCAAATAGAATTTTAAACACAGCACGCAAAGGAAAGCTCTATGTAAAATAATTTATAACAAAGCTGTTATATCAGGAGTTACTTATTAAATATCCAAGCAATATGCTTGAGCCTGAATGATTTTGATCATAACTGAAATGGATAGATCGCTCATGGTGAGTTTGGCTTGATCTGACAGTCACCCAGAAAATGGGATCCCTAAGGCAATGATTTCACTTCCCCTGCGCCCCCCACTGTATTCTCCACTGTGCTGTCAGATTAATCTTTCCAAACATTCGTACCGCTCCATTACTCAGAATTCTTGGGATGGAAAAAATATAAATATACTAATATCAATTTTAACGTGTTTAATGTCTCCAATTCATTTTTGTTCCTTTTCTTTTTATTTAAGAGAAAAATCATATAAGGATATGATAATAACATTCATACCTTCTGTATACATGGGAGACCCAGAGTGACTGAATAACTAGCCCAAGTGAGTTTTGATGCCATCTTAAACAGCTTAGCACAAGAAAGATTAGTCTTCTAGAAATTCAATTAGGTTACTGTCTGGGGAAAACAAAGGTCAGCTTTCTCCAGTAAGAGATAAAAAGATTAGGTCTTCCTAGAAGCTCACAGAGGGAAGTTTACAGATAGATTGTCAAAGTGATTTCTATTCAGCTTTTAGAGTAATTTTCATAAAATAAACCTCTTGTCAATCATGTTTTTAGATAGCAGATTTTTACTTTCTTAGGGTCTCAACTTTGGAACTTCTCAAGAAGTCACAGAGTTCCAGAGTTGAGTTGTTCAATTATTTCTGCAAGGTCTCCACTACCCTCCTAACACTTCACCATACTGAGCTGTTTGCTGGGTACTAAATTCAATAGCAGACATCAAATATGGCAGGCTCCAGTTAAGCTCCATATCGTGACATTTTACTTTAATACTGACATGTGTTGAGAATCTTTGAAGTTCTGAGGTTTCCATTCCCATGTTCATCCTAATTTATATGCTCCTTCTTTTTATAACATTGATTTCCAATTCTGCTCTATACAAAATTCCATCCTTGAGTTATTCATTGCTTCAATTATACCAACAAATTGGTACATATCCTATTATGTTATGTATAGTTATGTACCTACCCTGCCTCAGGAAGAAGGAAACGGTGCTATTTTCAAAGTTGCAGTATAAACAGCAGTGTTGTTTGTCATTTGTTGTGGACTGTCAGTCATATCAGTGACTGTAAGTAAGGAAAACATCCCAAAAGATCTCTAAAATAAAGTATCACCAGTAAACCTTTAATATTGGACTCCTTCAATGGACGTGATTACAAGTAACCTCTCAAGTAGCTATTTAGAGAATCACCACATTATACAAAATGCTCTCATAAAATTTTCAAATAGTTAGAATCTCATTTCATTTCATTATATGAAAATATATGATATAAATGTCCTAGAAAATTTGTAGATGTGTAGAGCAATCTTGCAATGATAATAAGACCTTCAAAAACCCTAGAGCAGATAGATTATAAAGTTAAAAAGAAACAGAGGTAGGTCGGTGCAAATAGGAGAACAGTAAGCTACACTTTGAAGAGCTAAGAAAAATCTGGAAAGGCCTAGGGATTGTGTTGAAATATAAGGTACCTGTGAATCATCAGCGGAGCCTTTGTATCTGACCACATATACCAAGCAGACATTCACATTATATTTAGGGGAACCACACACAAGATCAAGGGGGGGTTAAATGGTAGCAATTGCAAAATAAACTGAAAATTTAAGAGAAAAACACCTAGTACAATAGAGTTCC